GTCAGGTCAACTTAGGGTGTTGACCTCAGGTCAAGGTCAGGTCAGCACCCCCAGGTCACGAAGTTGGTCGAAAGAGGTCATGTCGCATATCATTCGATTCGGCAGGTCTTCCTGAGTCCATTGGTGGCTTTCCCGACTCGCTAGCTCAATTTGATCGGGAGTTATTGAAGAAAAATTGTGACACTTGTGACGTCACAAATGACGTCACGCAAGGGCAACAATGCAAATATGAAGCATAGAACCTTGCAAGGAGTGCATGAAATCATGATTCTATATGCTTGAGATAGTTTCAGATCATTCTCGGCGCAAATATAGCAATTTTCATATTTCCCCATTGACGTATAAGGGTTTAACGTATTAGTTCCTTGTATCTGAGGATTTTTTAGGATTCCATCTTGTTCTCCACTCAATTCTGCGTAAGATGCCGGGTTCCGTGTCCACATAGCTTGAACGTAACGCATGCAGCGACCGCAAACGTAAATCGAGGTCCCGAATTCCCTATTCCCCAACACAGGCGGCGGCCGCTTCCTGGTCTGCGCAACATGGCGGCACCGTTGGACACCATCTGGCGGCCGATGCGCATTCCACATTATAGAGTTCAGTGCATAATACTTTCTGGACTTATTTTAATATCATAAGAGATATTAACCTTACTCTCATATTAGCCAAAAGATATAAAATTTCAAAAAGACAAAATACAGTTTCGGGAGCTTTCGGCTTTGCGCCTTTATCAACCGTTATGTATTATCAACCGTTATGTATTATTATGTATTATTAAAGCCGATATTAGCGCCTTTATCAACCGTTATGCAAATTGATAAAGGTTGATAAAGGCGCAAAGCCGAAAGCTCCCGAAACTGTATTTTGTCTTTTTGAAATTTTATATCTTTTGGCTAATATGAGAGTAAGGTTAATATCTCTTATTATATTCATAATGTCTCTCAAAACTGTGCTAAAAACCATTCAAGATTATTTTAATATCATTTCATTGTATCATGAGCATAAGGTCATTTTCTACCATCATACCTAATATTCATAATTATGCTCAAACTGGCCATAGCTCTGAGCTCACCTCCAGCTATGTAAAGTTTACCAAATTATTCGTTTAGCCCGTTTAGCTTGGACTCAGCGACGTGTTTTCTCGGTAGATGGCAGTAGTAGTAGACGCCTAAAGCTATGGGGACTAATACTTTGGCAGACCAAAACCGGGGTTTCTACACCAAATCTGTGATTGCTATCTCACCAAATATCGGTATGTCTTGCACCAAATAAATTACAGGTTATTTGAACCAAAACCAGAATTTCTGCACCAATCTAGTCTTTTCTACTAAATTCTGGAAGGTTGCCAGGTATTTACGTTTATGTGTGGATATCTGCACCAAAAAGCGTAACAATGCACCAAATGTAATTTCGCCGCACTAATTGATTAAATGATTAGGTAATACACGTCTTTGCATATGAGTTCGGCAGAGCCGCCATCCCGCATCACCTTCTTGCCCAGAGTTCATCATGTTAAGACAGAGCAGCTCGTTGATCAACCAGATCAATCCAGATAGTCTTCCAGGCAATGCCTTGGCCTCGATGCTTTTTGGCACTTGGCTGCACTCTGCCATCCTGATCCTGACCACTACTACTAACGCGAAACTGAGCGGGAGTGGTCTCGGATTGAAACTCGCTCAAGGAGTCATCCGATTCCTCCATTGCTGGCTTACCTCTACAAGACCAGGGGCGTCGCCACGGATTTTTGAGTGGGGGGGTCGGGTTTCCGGTCTTCGTCTTGATGGGTAGGGGTGTTTTTAGCCACACTCCCGGTTTTTTCGTGTGCCCGGAGAAAAACCTCGGCGCGCAGCGCCGCGAAAGCAGCGGTAGGTATATCTTATTGTATATCAATTTTGCATCGTGCATAAAATTCAAGCAGAGGTCACCTGAGGTCAGGTCACAATGTCATGTCAAGTTCAGTTTTAATGCCTCTTAAAACTGCAATCTTGTCATTCCTATAGATTATCTCCTGACTCCTATAAGTCTGAAATTTGGTGTAATGAATGGGATTATAAGTGCCAACAGTTCATGAATCTGGGATTTTACATCTGAGAAGCGAAGTCAGGTCAAATAGGTATGTGACCTCACCAATCATGATAAGATATGGGAAAAAGCACGATGCCCTCTGCTTTGAAAGAATATGCTAAAAACGCTAGATACTTTTGTAGCCATGGCACCTTGTTCATTTTAGAGATAAGGTGCAGCTAATGACCAGTGGTGACTGAAATGGTCAGTCATTAGGTCATCAAAGGTCTCTAACACATTTTCGACAACAACTTTTGATGGAGACGTTGTAGAGCGATGACAGCACCTGGAGTGTGTTCAGCTCAGTAACACGATCGATCCATATGCAGCAGGTTCTTTTCCGGTCAGGTCATGACCTTTACCTGATGTCAAGTTTTCTATTCAAGTTTTTAAGTTCAAATTGTAAGCCATGCGAAGTGTTTCGACGAAACAAAAACGATGGTGATAACATGAATATCATACACATTCACTGAATCATAGGTTGTTACAGAACAAAGGTTTCGGCAAAATCCGTCCGTTTAGTTGTTTGGACTCTATGGTACACAAGCCATAGACCCGAAGTCATATCTGAGGCGAAGTTGGCGAAAGAGCTTTAAAAAGCTATCGAATACGCTTTCTGTGTTGCTGTAGCTCTTATTCGTATTTTGCGGGTCGCTAAGGTAAAACGTTTACCAACGTATGTAACGCATAAGGCATGCTTTCGGCCCCTGATCGAGGTAGAGTTTCGCGGAAGAGCGAAAATGCTGCCCGTGATGAGAGAAAGCCGATGATGCCCAATTTCAAGGTCTTGGCCGGGTCATCTTAGGTCAACGCCCAAAAGTAGGAAAAATCTGGCCGCCTGCTAGAACTTAGTGAGCCGTAGCTGTTATCGGGGTCCCGAGTACGAGTTCGATGTTAGTCTTGAACAAAGATGATGACTCCATGCATTTTGGGTAGATCGGGTCGGGTCAGGTCAGGTCGACCAGCAGGCTTCCTGCCGGCCATCTAGAGTGGGTGACTGACAACCACCCGATAGCTTCGTAACATGTTACATAACCATCATTTATCAAAACTACTTCAAACGGTTCAAACGGGCGCTAAACTCGAAATCAGCCCCAAAAACCACACTTGTAAGTGGAAGCAAATAAAACTCAAAAAAGTTGACCAAGGTCATCCATATTCGAATCAGGGCCAATTTTTTTAGAATAGGTGTAAAATTCATTAACTCGAGGTCACTGGAAGTTTCGTTGCAATATACTCCTTTTTGCGCGTCTTATTAGGAAAGCCCCAGAGGGATCCACCATCTGACCCCCTTTTCCCCTATGCAGGCAGGTCCGAGGGTAGCAGGGCTGAGGCTAGCCAGGTACAAGTTACTGATACGTCACCCGACGAATCGACTGCAACCATTATTTTGACAATCAGACGAACGCTTGGGTCAGTTTTGACGCGCTCGCTCATTTGAGGGATAAAAAGGGACTAAAATCATATTGTCATGCTGATGTTCTAGCCCACAGCTTATTGACCTATAAGCAATAGGGACTAGGGAGCTCTTGAAGCGATTCTGAATCTGACGTTGTATTTGTTGATGTTGCTGACGCCAACTTCCCTGACATAATAGCTAAAAAAAGCGTATTCAGCATCGCCAAAAGTGGGGGGGGGGGGGTCGACCCCCCCGGTTCTGACGAGTGGGGGGGTCGCGACCCCCCCGACCCCCCCGTCGGCGACGCCCCTGTACAAGACAACTGCAAAGCTAGAGTCTGTAGGAGAATTGATTTGATTATACACGGGTTCGCACTATTCCCCGAATTTCGAAAAAGTCCGCACTGGGAGACACAGCTCAACGAACGACGCGACACTCAACGACCAAATTGGACCGAAGCAACCGAGGACGCTACCGAGCGGCCGAGCCGAGGACGCTCCATTTCGAAGCGTCGCGGCACGCCGAGTCGCTGCCAGCGCTGCCAAAAATTCTACTGAAATTATACCATTTGATCCAGTAGATAAAACATTCCTACTAAAATTGGTGCATTCTTGCATGTATTTGGTGTAAGGAATTCACTTTTTGGTAAATTTGTGCTTCATTTGGTAGGGTTTTCCCTAAAAATGGTCGAGTTGCCTGAAAATTCCTATTTTGGTGATAAATGTTCCTTATTTTGGTAAAACAAGTTCCTGGTTTGGTGCGAACTTACCAACATTGGTTTAAGATGTCACATTTGATGAATATTTACAAGATTTGGTGCATTTTTACACTTTTTGGATCTGACAAAAAATGGAAGCCTAAAGCTATGCTGCACCGCACTGCTCGGGCTCGAAACTGCTGTGCGTGGGCGGCGCCGGGCTGCGCTCCGATGAGGGCCCGGTTCACACCGGGTCACTAACAAAGGATGACGAGATTGCGAAAATCGTATTCGTCCGTATGTATGGTAGAAAACCGCCTAGCTTGTGTGTGACGGTAAGGTATGCATGGTTTTCGGTCGTGCCGGTGCAGGAATTGATTACCAACTTTAATAGAGAACACGTAACAAATGTCAATTTGAGTGTTGAATCCATTGACGGATTAAAAAATCTGTTTGAGATCATCCAAGTACCTATCCATTTTAAGCGCATTGGAGTTGAAAAGCTAACGTAACTGCACCGGTGATCTTGGCAGCTATTGAAAACTGAAAAGCCTAAGGAAAGAGTAGCACCTCTTTAGTTTTATGGAATGGTTGATCTACAACTTTGAGAAATTTGCATTGTATGCTTTACACTGAACTGTCGTTGATATGAAACCAGGAATAATATGAAAGTCAATGCCAAAGCAAGCTGCTACGCAATTTAGGCCGTGGGTGAAAAAGCCTAATCTTGGCGAAAAGTGAAAAATCTGAAATGCCTGCTGCCATTTCGAGCACATATGAAACAGGCTTTTCGCAACCTTGTTTGAGAGTCGCAGTCGCGCCAGTTTTGCAGTTAGGCTTAATTAAAGCTTATTTTCTTCAATTAATTTCAATTGCCCGTGGCCAGACGGGCCGGTCTGTGGTAGGATACAGTGTTACGTTACGTGGAACTGGCAGATTGATAAAATTGTGTTAATCTTCCTTGCTTGAAACGACCTTGGATGATTGGCATGAGAGAAAGGATTTCAATTTACCTCGAAAATCAGACATTCACATTGGATGCCGGAAGGTGCCCTAGGCTAAGGTTTGGGTTGAAGGATTTTCCAGTCATCAGTCAAATTAACAGTATAAGAGGGTTCTTACTCCGTATTACTCCAGGGCCAGGCGGCCCTTTTTCACCGGTGATAGCAGCACGCTGCTTTTACACGTGTCAAATTGGGTTTCCATGGAAACATCAACAGGCCCATTGCTCCAACACTACCACAAGTATGACGTCAGCTCGCGCAATTTGATAGCAGCGTGGTAGCAGCGTCCCGTGAAACACCGCCCTGGAGTTCTATAGCCTTGGGCCAGGCTGAGTCATATGATTTGTAGTTCTGAGTGTTGTTCGGCATTGGCAGATCCGGAAAACTGGTTTGAGATGTTAACTACAAGGAGCCCACTTCTCAAAAACTACTGCCCAGCTTAAGCCAACGTAAGGAAATCAGATTTTGATTCTCTATACTGTACAGCTAGAAAAAAATTCTGGTAAAAATGTGGAGCTTTCTTTGTTAGAAATAGATTGTATATTTTGGGTAGGAACTGTGGGATGGGCATGGATGCAAAATGACCCCAGTAGTTGGCATGCAGTAAAGCTCTAATAAACAAACAGACAGTGTAGCCAAATTGGTGATGTTGCGGGGAAAGTCACCCCCAATGAAAAGTATAATGACATCCTCAGAAATTTTAAAGTTACATCATCACAACGTTTTTGTTGTGAAAGCATACCTACTACCTAGTGAAGGAATAAAGACTTAAAATGTTCCAATGTACGATTCACACCGTCATACTCGTACTGTCGCGCTTGCAATGTTTTTTCATCTTTGATGAGGATGACAATATCTGATTTTTTTTACTTTCCACCAGAGCTTGACGTCAGGTATAGTTTTTCCACATAACTTGTAAAAACTGCATCTAAGATGACACTGAAGACGAGTTTTTTGAAAAAAGTGACATCCTCATACGACTTTTTTATACATCCTCCCCCTAACGCTAAACCAATTTGGCCACACTGCAAACAGATGTGGAGGGGCAAATGTTTAAACTGCTCCCCCTTGGAACTTAAACTTCCAGTATTTACTTGGTAGTTTTTACCCAAAGAATGGATGTGAATTTAAAAGATTTTACTTCCAGAGACCTGTGAAGCTGGACCATGATGGCTCAGTTTAGAGGCTAGGGATGAACAACAGCAAATGAGTTGTCACACTCACTTTCACATTTCAGTAGAGTACCTATCTCTCGATTGTTTTTTGAAATGCTCAAGTCTCTGTTGAAGCCAGAAGATTTATTTTCGTCATACTAGTAAACTGATTGGCAGTCTTTGTTCTGTGCTGTTAAATGGTGAGTACCTACCAACTTAGTACCTGCATACTTATACCAATAAGCAGTCTTTTCTCCATCCCCTAAACCCAGCCTTCAACCACCTGTACAACAGTCTGGCTGGCATATGCCAGCCAGACTGTTGTACAGAAGCTTGCATAGTTAACTCCCTAGCCTAGCATTTACAAAATAATGCTTGTAAAAAGTTAATGAATTCCTGGATGAAAAGCGGTGATCCAGCCAGCAAGTTACCTATCAAAATTAAGGGGAATGGGCATTGACTAGACCCAAGATTACTGGATCCCTTATGTATGTAATATGTATGGTAGATGGCCTGACAGCCTTGATTTAGTGCCTAATGCCTATGCAACCTCTATTTCTTAGGGGAAAAAAGGAATGATTTGATGTCCCTAGTCTAGTCCCACTAGAATAAGTATTTTAGTGTCATATATCAGTATCAATTAGTTCTATGAAGTTGTATGAGGCAGGTGGACATTTTTTCCTTTCAGCAATGTGGAATTCTTAACCTTACAAAATACAGCTATTGTTCACACAGTGCACAACACACTACACAGCAGCTCCAGCACACTATTTGCTACCTGCTATGATGCACATTAACAAATAATGTATGCACTTCTTCAACTATTGTGAAGATCTTTGGATGCTTTATTTTCTGCTCTCTTCATTAATTTTTGCCCTAAATTTTACATCTAACACCCTGGGGCCATTAAGGTGTGCAACTCTTGCATGTAGGTGGTAATGTGTAATGGGTACATGGTTATGACACTGCAATATACTGCAGAGGCTCTACCAGTCACCAATGCTGTGGTATATGCTAGATATATTGTCCCTGGCAATGGTGACAATTCTGAATGTCTAGAACATTTGTTCCTATTCAGAAGTGATGTGTCTTGCCAACAAAGGAATGCAAATGTTTTGTTGATGACCTGTGCACCTTTTCTCAGGTCAAACATGTCTTCAGAAAAGAGATCATCCAAGAAGGAATCTGGCTTTGAAGGCATCATAAAAGGTATGTGCTCTCACCTGACCTGACCGAACGTCAGGTGACCCATGTAAAAACAGATGTATTGTCATAGGAACTGAAGAGTTTGCTTCCCTCTGAAAGCCCTATTTCCCTCCATAAAAGGAACCCGGATGCTGAGAGCATTGCAAAATCTCAACACTTTTGTACAGGGAATAGGCCGGTGGGGCCCATGAATGATAATTGACATTGATGTCATATCTCGATTATCGACCCTGAAAATGAGGCTGGTACCAAAAGATTCAGTTTGCACTTGGAATGATGGTTTGATAGGATGTATTTTGGTTCCCCATCTCTTGTGTGTCCCGATCGCTCACCAAAAACTGGTTAAGAACTGACGCTACTGCATTCGGTAGTTGGTCGAGGAGTTTACAATGAAGCTCGGATAATTATTGCTCCTTGAAAAGGTGTTTGCGCGCATGTGCTTGCCGCGGGCGTGTCTGAGAGCGTAACAAATTTCTGAACGCAGACATCGATTTGTGCCTGGAATTTGCTGGTAAAATGGAGATCAAAGTCGAATTTTTGTTGGGTGGGTAATGCTTGGCAGCTCCAGAGCGTGTCTCACCAGCCTCAGTCGTGATGCTTATGTAGACCATACATGCTCTGCTGCACTGTCCGGCTGGCCTGTTGGCCTTACATGCCCTGCTGACGTGTCGCGCTGGCCTGTCGGCAGACCTGAAGCAGCAGCTGGCGGAGCAGTTGCGCTGCCTGGACAGTCGGGCTGACACGCAGGCTGCCGTCCTCTTGGAGCTGCAGGTACGCTGGAATGAATAAGACACGGACAATAATGGGTTTTGGTTAGCGTCATGGAATGTAGTTAGACGGTTAGGGCGCTCATACACCGTCCTAACTGTCGTGTTGTTGACAAGCCACAGATTATCCTCCCGTGCTACCTACCGTCCCCGCCTCTCAGCTCGACAGGAGTTATCGACCGTCCCGTTGGCTTTGTTGGACAGGAGTTTTACCGGCGGCGCGCCGACGTGGAGCAGGACTACAGCCGCGGCCTGGACAAGCTGCACCGCTCGCTGACACAGCGCCACAAGGAGCTGAAGACCAAGCGGGAGCAGGCGTCGCTGCTGTCCTCCCACGGCTGCTGGCAGCAGCTGCAGCAGCAGACGCAGCTGGAGGCGCGGCAGCGCGCCACCCTGGCCGACATTTACGGCACGGTGCTGCCGCAGAAACTGGCCCGGCTCGGCGACGACCTGCAGCGCGCACACAGACGGGTACGTGAGAGGGTTCGGGGGGACGCCGGGTGGCCGGTGGGAGGGGAGGGGACGTCCTGTGCTGGAATGGGCAGCTGATGTTGTATCGTGCGATATGCTTGCGGCTCGTTCCACGGCCTAACGGTCGGCTGGACTACTGGCTGCATCTAAACGGCCAAGGCTTCTAGCTCTGTTGGTAGAGCATCGGACACCTGGTGGTTCGTGTATCGAGTTCGGGTTCCGAGTCGCTCCGGTGCTCGATATATGAGACTCCTGACATGAGACTGACACGATACTCCTGGCGATGGTCTGCGGTTGGTGGGAGCAGTCGCAGCCAGTTACAGTCGGATAAGGGCAACGATCCTGTCCGCTTTTGATTGGCACGCTAAAGTTTGTTTTTTCTCGATCACCGGAATTTCCTGGTCGGATGGCTGTAGGGTTCGGTGCTCGAGCAACAAGCTCAGGCATAGCGTCGGCTTCGACCCTGTCAATCCGCCCATTCAAACATTCGAACCAAATTTATTTAAAAATTAAAAATATTATCGAGGCATGGATTTACCGCCTGGCCAGCCGGTGCTGGGATGGCTGTACCCCGCAGGGCTATCAGACAGTGTTTGGATGGCCGTGTCTTGCGGTCGGCCGGCCCCGGGTGCAGAGTAATCCCGTCCCAGGGTATGCTGCTGTATAACGGGGCCCGTACTGGGGTGTGTCGAATCATGTTAGGATTGTCGATCGCGCCGTGCGGCTCGCCTGTTAGGTTCCAGGAACGGTGAGTGCTGTAACTTCTCGTGATCGTCTCTGTGTCGTGCTGTAGTGCTTGTTTACATTGCGCGGTAAGGCTCTGTGTATCGCTGATTGCGGCTGTTCCTCATCGCCAGTGCCGTCAGATATGCACCGAATCACATGAGGAGATACTGAAGCTCATCAATGAGCTGCAGGAGTCGACCAAGACGTACAACACGTACTACGCCCTGTTCAGCGCGGCCGAGGCCAAGCTGCAGTACGTGGTCAACCAGAAGGCCAAGCTGGAGGTGAACCTGCCGGAGGACAAGCTGGACAAGTCGCGGAAGTTCCGACTTGTCGAGAAGGAGATCGTCAAGGTGGGCGGAATGGTGACGCGATTGTAACGACATCGTGTGTGGTTATATAAGGCACATATTTTGAAAAAAAACTCGAACCCAGCTAGTATTTCAAGTTTTTTTTTTCGACTGCATCGAGCTCTTCAAATTATTCCAGCTTTATTCGGCGTTCGGTGAAAGCTGCTGCTTTAAAAAGCTAGACATGTTGAAAAACATGATAAAAGGAAGTTATTTCCACTGCCCATTGAGCTGGGTATTTATCGAGTGTCTGACTACCCAGTAACCCTCATCACACACCGCACTCCATAGCTCGATTAGCAGTCACTAACCCCGCCCTCGTCTCCACCACCCAGCGGCGGAACAAGTACCAGGACACTCGCCTCCAGGCGCTGCGCGCGCGCAACGACTTCCTCCTCTGCCTGGAGGCGGCCAACGCCACCATGCAGCGCTTCTTCGTGGAGGACCTACCGGACACGCTGGACTGTGCCGACGCCGGGGTGCACGCCACGCTGGGCCGCGCGCTACTCATGGCCTGTGACGCTCAGGAGGGTGTACTGGCCGGCGAGCGACAGGCCGTGGACGACCTGCGGCGCGCGGTGTCCCAGCTGGACGCGCGGCTCGACAGACAGAGGTTCATGGAGGCCAACAACGCGCCGTTCATGCTGCCAAAGAAGTTTGAGTTCATCCCGTACAAGGGCGATATTGTGAGTGATGGGGAAGGCAGGTGATGGGCCGGGGAGGGTGGGACTGGGCTGACTGCTGAGGATAAAAGGTTGTGCGGGAAAGAGGTTACTTGGGGCAGTAGATATTTTAACGCCTATTGCTTTTCGTTATCGATATCCTTGCCAACAATGCAATAAGCTTACTATTTTTCTTTTTGCATTGTTTGGATGTTGCAATACGACGTGTAGCTGACAACGTGGGCGAGTTTTTACTTGGGCGCCGATGACCACTGTAGTCTGGGCGCCCAAAAACCCCAATTCATCATCATCATCACCACCATCATCATCGAGTTTTTTTTCTGTCTCGGACCTGATTGCTAGCTGCCGGCCGCCAGCCTTCCCCCTTCATTCTTCCCTGCTCACTCCGCTTTCCGCGGTCAGATGTCTCGCTACGATGTGGACCCGGCGATCCTGGAGGAGACCCGATCGCGGTACGACGCGCTCTGCGGCCGCATCGAGACGCTGAAGACGGCGACGGCCGAGCAGTGGAAGACGATGGAGACGGCCGAGCGCAGTCTGCTGGCGATGGCTGCCACGGCCGAGCTGGACTGTCGGGCGCAGTTCGCGGCCGGCCGTGACCCGCCGCCCCGGCCCACCGAGACGGCGCTGGCCAAACAGAGGGGCGACCAGCTGGAGACGGCGCAGTTCTACGTTACGGTACGGCGGGGCGAACGGGGGGGGGGGGGGAGGGAGTTCTACGCTGCGGTATGGCTGAGGAAGGGATGAAGGGGTCGATGTCCCGCTCCTGACTGAGGTTTCTTTGTTACAATACAGCTGCATAACCTGTGGGGAAGTTATGTCTCGGAAGGGCTGGGCGGACGTAGAAGTTTTGTGCCATGGTTAGGGCGGACGGAGGCCTTGTTCGCAGCTTCTTTGGCAGGATATTTCTCTTTGGATTAATTAGTGCTGCTAAACAAACCCCTCGTGCCATTCTATTCAGTGCATCTCAGTTTCTAAAGCGCCTGTGTCCGTCCGTCGGGTCCCCGCAGAAGTTTGCCGAGCTGGTGTCCGACTCTCGGCTGCTGGCCAGACTGCAGGTGAAGCGCGAACTTCTCCGCTCCGGTCTATCCGAGCACGCGCCGGAGCTGGAGCGGCCGGCCCGGCCCGTGTGTGCCCCCCGGCCGCGTCGACCGCGACTGGGCCGACCGCCCACCGACGGCCAGCCGAGACTGTTCGGCGGCAGTCTGGAGGAGTATGTGGAGCTCAGCGGACAGGAGATTCCGCTCATAGTGCGCTCCTGTGTGCGTGTCATCAACCTGTACGGGCTGCACCACCAGGGCATCTTCCGCGTCTCCGGGTCACAGGTAGGAGGTGGCGATGGCGATAGGTGAATGAGTTTATCCGAGAGACAGAGTCTGGCGTTTTATTGTTATGAATGATTGTTTCACAATAGCTCAAACTGGTATTAGTATATTCATTCGCCTGGTTTATGGTAAAATGTGGATATTCGAGCAGCTGCGTTCAATGCTCACGGCTTTTTTATTCACTATCGATTGATTGTTTCCACGTTCCTATCCCGGTTGTCTTCTAGGTGGAGATAAACAGTTTCCGCGACAGTTTCGAGCGCGGCGAGGACCCGCTGGCCGATGTGTCTGACGCTTCTGACATCAACTCTGCGGCCGGAGTGCTCAAACTGTACCTCAGGGAGCTCCGGGAGCCCATCTTCCCCACGCCCTACTTCGACCAGTTTATGGAGATCGCACGTGAGTCGAAATCTAGGAATGCAAACTGTTGCAATGAAGTGCAGCGCTGTGGTATGCTGAATTTCTAGGCTTGGTGGATTATCACTTAAAGTGCCTCAACAGCTTATTTCTGCGCTGTGCTGTCATCGGACTGACTAGCTGGCTCGATCTTAATTAGGCTATGTCCTGCACAGCACTGTCGTATACTCGGTATGCATAAGTTTCGGTACTTCTCACAGACATTGAATGGGAAACGGGCCAGCGTTCTGATGGGGTTGTTCCAAGATTACTTTCCTATTAGGGTTGTTCGCCATCCTGGCCATGTACTACCTTGTAGCCCTGTCTGACAATATGCAGTTTTATTTGGCAGTCCGATCAGCTGCCATTTGCCAATTCTGTCATCCTCCCTGACCAGCTGTGCCTGTGTCATGTTCCAGAGCTGTCTGACCCGGAGGAGCGGACGGCCCGGCTCCGCGAGGTCATCTCCACCCTGCCACACTCGGTGCAGCTGGTGATGCGCTACCTGTTCGCCTTCCTCAGCCAGTAAGTGGTCCGACTTCATACGATGCCCGAATCTGCCAGTGGGTGGCCCTCCCAACACCAAACTCTCGAGACTACCGGACGGGCTGAGTCAATTACTAATTCATTGCCATCGAATGTCCCGATTCTAATTTTCCATGCGTTGGAGCTCTCCTAAGGGACCGATTGTGCATCAGCTATAAGCATGCTCATGTTGATCGTTCTTGCTCATGATCTTGTCCTCGCCATTACTACAATGCCTTATTTTCGTCCTTGCTGTTTTTCCTGAACTACACGCAGTACATGTTTCATTGGCACGGTTTCTCTAGCCTGCTCTGTTACTTTCGCCCATATCTCCGCCCGCAGTCTGTCCGAATTCAGCGACGAAAACATGATGGAGCCCTACAACTTAGCCATCTGCTTCGGGCCCACGCTGCTGCCGATCCCCGAGAGTAAGGATCAGGTGCAGTACCAGAACCTGGTGAACGAGCTGATGAAGCACATCATCCTCTGCCACGAGGAGATCTTCCCTCACGACGGCGGACCGGTGTACGAGAAGTACATCAGTCGGCAGAACCACCAGACGGAGGAGATTGGCGAGGCGCCCTCAGAGGTGTCCGGGGGAGCCGGGGACGGCGGCGACGGCGAGCCGGACGCCCAGTCGGAGGACGGTGAGAGAGCACGCGGCGCGGGCCGGAGGAGGCTGTTGTTATTGTTGTTGCTGTGTTTTTCCTCCTTCAGCTGCGATCTGATCGAAGCCGGGTGTAGTCAGGCAGGCTCTTGATAGGCGGTTTGGGGACCGGGCTTGGACTAGGACGCACGGTAAATATGCCTGACCCGTGACTGGCATACGAAAAGAGTGGTTTGTGTTTTGCCCGCAGATCGTTATGATATGCACTGTGCAGGACATTTCCTCTTGTAGTGGTGTGATATTTTTTCATGCCGATATGCTTTTGTTCTAATATTTCATATTTGTATAAACGATTCTGGTTTGGTTTATGGTGTGATATAGAGCTTTGTCTTTGATTTTGTTTTTGTTTTCATTTTATTTTGTTTATGTTTTTTGTTTTCTTTCAGATGTTGTTCTCAGGGCAACGGAAAAAGATCTTAGCATGCGCATTTTCGGAAGTGAGTATATGTTTGTCGTGTGTACAGTGAAGCACGCAAGTACCAAACAACAAATCACTTTTTCGCACTCGTCGCTCCGTGGGATAATGTACACATTATTATTATTATCATGTTTGTTTTATCTTGCGTTTTGATATAGGGCACCAATCGTAGAGCTTTTCGTATGCATCGTTTTTTTCCTTTAATTGAATTACGGCTTACCAGCCCCTCAAGACCACAACTGACGCGTCCCTCTCTTCCCCTCCCTCAGAGTGTGAGCAGTTGGAGGCGGTGGCTCAGTACGACTTCACGGCCCGCTCGGTGCGCGAGCTTAGCTTCCGCTGCGGAGACGTACTCACTCTGTACCGTCAGGTGTCCCCCGACTGGTGGAAAGGGCACTTCCGCGGCCGAGACGGACTCGTGCCCGATAAATACATCATGCTGAAAATCAGGTCAGTGTACGGCCGGTGACAGGATGTGAAGTGGTGCTAGGTGTGGGATTGGATGCCACTCGAAATTTTATTGATAGGTCGGTCATAATTTGTGTATGGGTGCTGACTCGTTATATGGCCTGCTGCGTGATAATTGTGCCAATATTGAAATGAGTGACTTTTGATATTCATCTTTTTCTTCGCTATCCTCTCCCCAGTCCCCGGTGCGAGCGACTTTAGCGAGCGTCATTTGAGCGAACGTCATTTGAGCGAACCATTTTCAGCGACTGGCAACTTAGCGAATATCAAATTAAGCAATTATCAAATATAGCGATTATCAATTTAAGCGAAAGCTATGTTTTAACGACATCTTTTTCGTCGACTACAGTTTGAGCGACTGTCATTTCAGCGAAACACTTCATCGTCCCGTATTTTTGCTTTTTTCTTTTGCGAGCGTTCGCACAACGAATGTTTCCGGAACTTTTCATGTTTATCCGGAACTGGATGGCGGATGTCACGTTCAAAGTTCAGACATTAAGCTCCAAACTCAAAAATTCCAGCGGCTCGATTTCACCCTCCCCCCCACTTGCTGTTTGTCAATAATGATGACCAAACGTTCGTTCAGAGATTCATATTGCTTTTGCTGTTTTTCGCGAAATTCCCCCGCTTGAATTTGAATCAGTTCCCATGTTGTAAAATTTGTTCTTGCCCGAAGCAACGTACCTACGAATTTCCAGATATTTGGGTGATGTCCTTGAAACATAGACTGGATCCCCCCTGCCATCCCTCGAGTTTATTATTGGTCCTTGGCATTCCTTCCATCGTCCTATCTCTCACGTTCCACATTTCCAGATCAAAGTTGCAGAATGGGGCCAGATAATTTTGGTTTCCAAGCTTAAAAGCAAATTTTTAATTTACCGCGCGCAGCTAAGCTTGAAGCATGACACATACCAAGCGGGTATTCCAAGGGTAAGGATTACCGAAAAGTAGCAAATGATTGACTTCCGTCGCGTTCGGTTTCGCTGTAACTGTGTTCGCTCAATTGGTACCCCATTGACCTCCATATATTCGCTCAATCTGGTTTCGCTGATTCTGGTCCTCGCTTAAGTTGATAATCGCTATGATTGAATTCGCCGACCTGACAATCGCTGAAAAAGTCAATCGCTTAAATTGATAATCGCTGAAAAGACTTCGCACAAATGTCGTTCGCTGAAATGACGCTCGCTCAGGTGTCGCAGAACCCCCAGTCCCCATATCTCTTCTCATCCCGTCTCTCCCTGTTTCTCTCACACACTCTTTCTCCTGTCCAATCTTCCCTTTCCCTTACCCTCCTTCCCCTCTCCGAACTAACTGCACCACTCTTTTAACCGCTGTGTGTACGCTTTGCCTTGTTCCATCGGCAGGGACGAGGAGCGCACCAGTCTGCTGGAGCCCAGTCCCGGTCACCGTGTCACCGTCACTGTGGTCACCGGACCGGCACCGGCCTCGTCCACATCCACCCTGTCCACACGGTCGACCGCGTCAGTGGGGTCCGACTCGGCCCCGTCCACCAGCGAGCCGGCCGTCCACGAGCAGCAGCTGTACGACCAGCAGGATCGCCAGCAGCAGCTTCAGCAGCAGGAGAGAGCAGCGCCGCCCGAGGTACCGCCCGCACCCCCGTAGTCTGCTCTGCCTGCTCTGCCGAGATTCCCCTATTGGAGTGATGCAGAGCACTCTGCCGCCCCTCTGCTCGAGATCCCCCTTCGGTGGAGTGGTTTCAAGTGCTTCACCACCGCTCGCAGACTGCATGTGCATGGTGTAGCTGTAGTAAGAGATTTAGCTGTGCCTGCTCGGTGGGTGCGACGAGTAGCATGAAGTGGGCGGAGGGGACTGGGATGAGCCGCGCACCCCACAGGTAGCTGATAGTGCTGTGAACGGGCATGCGGGGCGGACTGGTTTCGGCATGGCGGTGTTGAGCGGATAGGGTGGCTTGCGAGGACCGGAGAGGCAGCGCCAAGCGCTGTAGGAGGCGTCAGTTCACTAGCAGTCAGACTGCATACTAGCCATTCTGGGACCATTTAGTCGCGGTTGTGGAGCTTATATTATGGGACCATATAGTCGTGGCTGACGTACACAGGGTCTTGCGAGCTGCTTTTTATTATCAGCATCACAATTGTTTGATGCTCTAAAATACGTATTTACGAGGTGTGAAGTGGAATATTCAGGTTTTCAACGGCTTATTGGTTGTTAAGAGTGTCAATAATTGCTATGTTCAACACAGCGTTAAACACGTTTGAGCTTAATTCGATTCAATCAGACGGAGAGTGCATCATTTTATCGAATAGCATGTGTGGCATTCACATTTCACACTAAGAACACGGCCTCTAGATTGGTATGCAATTTTTCTGTTCCTCATATTGACATGTTCTGTCAACATTGATATTTCATACAATGCTGCAACCTGTGATGTCATATTGCTAGGCTTGCCTTTGCCTTTTAGCTTGGTTTTGGCAGTTAACTGTGCAATCTTCGGTGCAAGTAGGCATCTGTTCGATTTATATCGAGACAATTTTTAGCTTAATGATTGGGTGCAATACTGGAAAGACAGGGTATGCATGAGCCATTTTTTATTTTGCATTTTGTTCGCGAGCATACAGATGTTTTGGATTGGGTCGCATAGATCGATCTATATGACACTGCCTGTGGTTTTATTTTGCTGTAATCGTTTCTTAGCATGCTTATGACGTGGCGCTTCATATTTTATAACGTTTTATTATTTTTGCACTGTTTAATCGTACATAACCTCCATAAGGTGTACCGGATGTGCTGCCTGCTTACCCTAAGGCTGTGAATGACGTATGGTTTCCTGGTCGCGGATATGTGGGCTATTGGTGTGGCAGATTCGCTGTGTTACCCTACGCCGTAGCAATTAGTAGCCTGCCGCGTGCGTGGGTCTCCGGTCTTAGCCTCTCTTATATTGAATTGGGTCGGAAGCAGGTGGTTCATGTATCGTGCTGCTGTAAACGAACGGGGATTCGCAACATTGCTGCTCCATATTGTCATGATTTATTCAGTCGGGAAACAAATAGATATTCACACCGAAAGGTCGCATTGTGTGTAACGGATAATCCAAATGGACTATGGTGCAGGGTTATTTACGGGACATCATTAACGTTACTCTCACGCTGTTTGTGGTTACGAAACACCGACTGTTTTATCGTTTATGTTATGGTCTTCCCCGGCTTATAAATGGGTGAACGTCATGCAATCCCAACACCTAACCCAGAGTGACTGCCGTTCGCACGGAGAGGTGCATGAAAACTGCTGCCATCTTGAGAAAGGGACAAATCCCTAGCTACTGACTTTTCGCAACTGCTCATCTGACCCGACATGTATGAACGACTAAAAATGTGACTTGCCAAAAGTGGTAACAGAAAACTTTCGGTTAAAATTAACTGGCAAAAACATTTGCATTATGCCAATGCTGGACTTTGACTAATTCATCGTTGTCTTGCTTGTTTCTTGATAAACGGGCTATATCTAGACGGCTGCTTAACCACACTGGCCATCTCACGATGTTTTGTTTGCGAACAGTTACGAGCAGGAATTCATGAACTGAAAAATAAAACAAAAACAAGAATGCTTTACAAGTTTAATCATTGTCAGTCACAGTCTTTCGAAACTACTTTTCAACATCAAGGCATGTAGAGTTTTATGACCGTGTAATATGTACCCACTAAAGCTTTCAACGACGTCGTGTGGCCCTTCTCTATAATTTGTAAACTTTTTACCGTTCTCTTCCAAACCGAGGATACATTGCCAGTCTCGAGTGGCTAAGATTGTACTTGGTTTGCCAATTGATTCTGTTTCTCCTCAATGGAATTGGCCTAAATAAAAAACGATATAAGGTGAATCGGTGATGACAAACCAGACTAACTGAGATAATGGGTCGTGATTTGTCATAGCATGTATTCGTCGGTCTGCCTTCTCTTTTAAGATTTAAACTGCTCCCCCTGCTGAACGTCTCTTCCTGTCCTGCCCTTTCTACCTAACCCCACCTCCCACTAATGCCACCATGACTGTCCCTCCGGTCCACTGTCCGTCTCGTTCGGTCTGTGTTGCCTGCGCTCGGTGGCGGCACTAACACTCGACTGGGACCTGCAGAGACCGGAGTCGGCTGGCGGCGGCGGCGGCTGGGTGCCCGACCGGTGCGCCACCCTGCCGCGCGGCGGGCGGCCCACACCGGCCCCGCGCGCTTCCTCACTCTCCACACTGCACCAGCCGACGGCAGGCGTCACCACGGTCCGTGTGAGCGTCCCCGATGACCGCGAGGAGGCAGACTCGGAGACGGAGCGGCTGGAGCGCGCCATCAGAGAGATGGCCATGGTGTCGGAGCGGCTCCGGGCCGGTCAGCTGTCTCCTGAGGATGAGCCGGGAGAGGAGAGCGACCCGCCGCCTCCTGCGCCGGCCAGTGCGCGCGCGGCACCGCGCCGACCGCCGGTGGCCGCTGTAAGACAGGAGCCGGAGTGTTCCCCGCCGACCAGCGGCAGCGTGCTGTCTCGGCGAGCGCTGTGGGAGACGCGCGCGGCGGCCGCCGCCGAGCCGGCCGGCCGGCTGGCGCTGAAACACACGCCGGATCTGGTGCTGGACCTGCCGGCGGAGTGGCACCGGCTGCAGCGCACCTCGAGCGGCTCGTCGGAGGAGGGCGCCGCCCCCGCCCCCGCCCCCGCTCCCGCCCCCGCCGCGGCCCCGTCCACTGCTGCCGAGACGTTCGCCCGTCAGGACCAGTGCACGGTTCGCCGCGGCGGCCGGCCGGTACCGGTGCGGCCCGGCCCCGTTGTGCGTCCCCTGCTGGGCGGAGCTGGCAGTGACGCGGCCGCTGCTCGGCCCGTGGTGGCTGACCCGACGCCGGCGGGCGATCAGCCGGCGCTGCTGCGGCCTCAGGCCAAAGTGAAGCCGCAGCCGGCCCGCAAGCCGAGCCCGAAGCACCGCCCGGCGGCGGCCAAACCTCTACCGGAGGAGTGAGAGCATCGGTGGACGTGGTCTGCCATAGCTAGCACAGTGGCCAACCGCCCAGCGGACGGGACCAGTACATACGACAGCGGTCAATCGGCCAGCGGACGGGGCCCGCCCTGCGGACGGAGCCAGTAAGTATCACGGCAGCCGACGACCGCTGAGGTCCGTCTGAGGCCCGCTTGGGACAGCGCAACAGATGTGTCGGGTCTGAGTTCAGGATGAAAGCCAAATGTTGCTCTCTAGGTTGAGTCTTGCCAATTAGCGAATTCCAGTGGAAACTGTTTTAGAATAGAAAGTTGGATCTAGGTATATTAAAGATGATGCGTTGTTACCACCACGTTGTGGCTAATTGTTGATAGATGACTGTCTTTCATTTGCATTTCAAGTGCATTACTAAGACATCTATCAGATACGGTGCAACTTTGGGTAGCTTTGATGCTCTAGGAAAAATTGTGCACATGTGCACAAGTATGTGTAGTTTTAAAAGACCAAATTGAGCCAATACCCACTCTACGTGAATCTCTTTCAAACTTGTCAATGGAGTTCTGCTCTTAATTTGTTGAAGACTGAATGATGGCATGTGGTCTGCTGGGCGCTTCCTGTGGCAGATGTGAGGCGGTGTTTCTTTTAATGGTTTCGCAATTTGGCAGCTGGCAGCTTGGGTGCTCGTTGGACCTGATCAAGCCTCCAGTTTGCAGTGCGGGTCGTTTCTAAGTTACGTGAGTTTGGTTTCCTGAATAGGTTCAAAGTTGCACAACAAAATAATATGTGGGCCTAAAGCAGGCGTCATTTACTAGTAATACTAGCAATCTCATATGGCTCCATAACCTTTAACGCTGCAGCTTTGGGACCGCTGGCCACTGAACGCTCTCATTGTAGCCCAATAGGGTATCGGACAGGACGCTCTTCTTTCGTTTCTCGTCTGCTCAGAGCGATGGGTTTGTGTGTGTGTGTATTGAAACAGGTGCTACTCACGAAGGCACCGGACCAGATGTGTTGTTGGTTAATCGACGTCGCACTCAGTAGTTGTGGTAGATGCTCGGGTTAGGTGGTCGAGCCAGGGACAGGGGCGTGACACGAATTCGATGGACGCGGAAAGCCCTAAAGCTTCCGATGGTTGATGGCATGTTCACTGTTGCCGCGTTTGGAGCGTTTTGTCGGACCAATCAGTTAGTTCATGTGTTAGGTGTGTCTGGAGGCATTGATCGCGTTGATGTGGACATTGTTAACCTATCCGCAGTGACGACGTGTTTAATTGTAACAGCTTCGTACTATACCAGCTGAGATATTAACGCTTGAACGGGCCGCCGTGGGCCCAACATACTCCCATAGTTAATGTTAGGCGGGCTGCCCCAGTGTGGTTCAGACCCCATTCGGACATTACTCGTGAGTGTTAGTGAGATATGGGCAGCTAGCCCCCGAGAATCTCTATAGGCGCGTTTGGAGTTTGTGTATATATGTTGGTGTTCGAATTTGTACGAATGGGCACGAGCTGATGTCCCGTGTTACTGTTAACGAGGCGAGTTGAGTTAGAGAGCTACAGCTATAGATCGCAACAAACCTGTGATTTTAATAATCGTTTATGTATACTCTTTGAGAATGTTTTCTCTACGTTAATAAACTGACAAACATATAAACATTTTTTAATTTTGTAACTCGGACCTCAGTAGCTTCAATTCTAAGCATAAGACTGAGCCAAGACCTTATATACCGCATAAGTCAATACTCTTGAGTCGTTTCTCGCCCGGGGTTCATTGACGAAATGAAAGCAGACGAAGCTGCAGGCTAACAGAATGAACAGGAACAGAAAACAGAACATCCCGACCCCAATAACAGTGCTCGACTGTAGGTGACTTAGCATCCCTTCTGCAGCAGGTAGGGCCAGGTACAAGTTGGGTTCCTTGCGTTGATGCGGTGGTGAGATAGCTCTGAACAAAGGATGGGTAACAAGTAACAACTATCGTTCATCTTCAAGCCGTTCAACATCGTTCAGCAAACGAACCATATCAAAACCATATTTATGTGTCAAACACACAGCTAGGACTGTCGACCGCCCTTTGGCTGCCTTGCCTCAACATACCGGCGTGCAAAGCTCATCACAATACATTCGTAACAAACGTAACTCAGTACTCAGTAGTTTCCGAGTTGCCTTTTGCAACTTCACTTGAACTGACTACGCCCGACACACGTCTATAACACAGGGATGATGTGGGACTCCCATGGAGAAGCATCACTGGCAGGTCTGATGATCTGATGCGCGTGAAAGTAAGCGGGGTTGGGGAAGCGAGCGACGCCGGCCCCCTGGCTGTTCTTTGGAGCTACACTTAGTGTCGGCTCTGCCCCACATGAGGCCACAGACCAAATACAGTTGTTGTTACAGCTTTGGGTGCAGGGGCCGCGGGCTGGGGAACGGATTACAGACCTTATCACACACGGCACTGCTCAGTTGGCGACTGGCGTGCCTGGCTTCGGCTGGCCGCTTCTTTGGTCTGTGGCTGCCCGACACCAGCGGCTACTGCCTCGGTAGCATCTCTACCCGTGTCGCTCGCGAACTCTGGTCTAAGTCCTGCGCTGCCTGCCGCGTCACGTCAGTAGACTAGCTCTGTCCCCACCGTCGCTGGGCAGGGCGCGGGGTTGGTCAGCCGGTCTCTGCCCGCCGTCCGCAGTCCTCCTTCCCCGGCTCCCCTCCTGCACTCTCTTGTCTTTGGCGCTGGTCCTCGATGATGGAACGGGCCAGAGCGGTGATGTTGCCCTGGCCGAAGCCGCGCGCGCCCCGCCGCTCCAACACCTCCATGAAGAAGGTGTCCTCCTCAAAGAGCGGCTCGCTGAAGATCTGCATCAGGTACCTGCAAGTAGAGGCCGACGGTGAAGGTGGTGCTTCAACGAGCAAGCACGAAAATTGGAGACATGAGACAAGTATTGCATTGACAGAAGTCGTATTTCTGCCCGGGACGTTTTTTTTGTAACCTGGGAGGCATTGGCGGGATGATAGAACAGCCATTTAAGATGCACGAAAGAAGGTGTAACACTCGCGCCGGACACGTGCTTCAGCACACAAAAAAAAAAGAGTCAAGACCTAGACCTCGCACCAATTCTTGCAAGTCGCGACCACCCTCCCGATACGTTTCTAGCAGTGAGCGGACATGCTAAGTCAGCCTTCACTGCAATCATCCTCATGTGACTTGCTGAGGTCAGGCAAGGGTCCGGCCGAGGTACCCGGTCGCCCGCCACTCGCCTGTCTCCGGTGTCTGTGTCGCTGTCGGCCTCCGAGTCGAGCAGCAGCCCGAGCTGTCGGAACCGACTCAGCTCCTCCCCGGCGATACCGGCCGCCGCGATCTCGGCACCCTTCCCCGTCTGTGGGGGGGGGGGGGGGGGAGGTCAAGACCGGAGAAGGACGGGATCAGACTGGGACAGTAAACAATAGTAGCGAGAAGATCGCTCTTCATAGCACTTGACAGTGTAGAAAGGCTTGGTAGATGAGAAGCTTCCTTAGACGTAGATGGATTGTAGTGCGTAGAAAGTAGTTGTAGTTGCGAATCGACTCCATCAACATCACTAGGAGTTAGGACATACTGCATTCTAAATGTGCCGACTTTATGTCATTTTCCACTTGAGTCTGTGTCTATTGGCTCTTGTCTGTGTCCCGTTTCACGCCCACTACCTACTGTCCTGTGGGTGGTCGGTTAAATGCACCGTAAACACCGCCTATATGAATGAACGTGGCATACCCTCGCCCCCATCGGTGCTGCCGATGTTAACTATTCTATTACTCTCCCGATAACAACCGCCAATCACTAGGAGTTAGGACGCCATCCCCCTCCTATGCCGTCTCCGTTGACCGTTACCTGAGTGTAGTAGGCGGGCGGCGGTCGTCGGAAGTTGACCCCTCTGCTGGCCATACCGGCCACCCTGGACACGATATCGTCTGTGTGCAGACCGATGTGCTGCACCCCCGGGCTGCCGTGCTGCCGGTTAAACGTCTCCACGTGCGAGTCGTCTGGGCACAGAGGACAGAGGGCAGAGGTCGGACCGCGAGAGGTCAGGGGCCAGTCAGTGGGAGGTCAGACCGAAAGGTCAGAGGTTAGAGCACTGACTGGTCACCGGTCACCGTCCAACGTCAATGGTAGGTAATGCAGTGACAAACGCTTCACTCTTTTCAAAGTTGGAATTCAAGAAATTGAAAGTGCAGGGCACCGAGTAAAAGAGAAAAATTATTGAAAGAGGAGTTCTTGTCCTCTGGACCCGTTATATAAGACGCCCGGTAACTGATGGGACCTGTAAGAAGTAACCTTTGGCGCCCTGTGCCTCTGTGTCAATGTCTCGACAACTCACCATGTAAACTCTCGGCGACGACGAATTTGAGGGTGGGCTGGTTGGGGTCGGTGGGTGGTGCCTGGAGTCCCGTCTCTGCGCAGCGCCAGTACTCCATGGCTTTCAGAGCCATGCCGACCTCGCCGCCCATCACGACGCCGTCAGTGGGGCTATCCTGGCTGGAAACGGGGGTGGGGGAGGGGTCAGATTATAGGTATCTTGGGGTCAGACACCTGCAGGGGGAACGGCTTACCGACGCATTTATCCGCTGTTCCCAGAAAGTTCAGGTGCCAGTGAATCTAATATAAATTGACGTATACCCGCGATACCCAAAGCAATATACAATAATTACATGCATTGCCATTTTTACCGAGTGTATCGATCAAGTAAACGGGCCCAGTTAACTGGCGACCGGTGCACTCGTAACCTTTCCCAGCACACATGCAAAAACGCTGACCCATTCCTCGATATCATGCTATCCGAAGTTCGTATCCCAGCGCGGCGCCAAGAACAGGAACTGTTCTGCAAAGGATGCGTTATCACATATCACACAAATACCACGTCACATATCCCTACCCGGTCCCCTCTTCACCCCCTCTCAGTCACCTGTTGAGCTGGAAGCGCCGCATCCCGAACACGTGCTGATACCAGTCCAGCAGTCCGGTACTCTCGCCGCGGCGGCACGTGAGCGTCACGTGGTCCACGTACTCACTCTCCTGTCCACGTATATCGGGCACTTCACATTCCTCGTCCGGTGTCCGTGCGGCGTCAGAGACTCCGTTCGAATCCAAGAATCCAGGCAGGAACGGCCCCGAGTACCGGTCAGCGTTGATCAGGGTGTGTACCACGTTCCCACACACAGAGCGTACCACGGCATACTCAGCGGCACCGTCCGCGTCCGCCACGTGTACGGGACGCTGCAGCACGTGACCGCCGGCACGTGCCGCGCGCGACACCGTGGCAGCCACGTCGCGCACGAGAAGCGCCACGTTAAAGACGGAGTCGCGCTGGTGTCGGCCGCTGGGATAGCAGAACTGGGTCCACGGCTCGCCGGCTGTGAATCGGGAGTCGTGGACGGCGCCTGGCCGCTCCTGTGGGAGAGGGGAGGGGGGGGGGAGTGTCAAAGACAAGGATACGCCAAGGCTGTATTTAATCCACTTATTGAAATCGCAAACTCCAGTCAACTGCTTTACCACTGCAGCCTGCTCAGAGCTCATTGCTCAAGGCCGGTTCCCAGCGTCATTATCGTCTCCCTCCCGACACTGTTCGATGCATGCGGTTTATGACCGCGTGTCATCATTTCCAGCAATATCGTGCATGCATGCTCAGCCCTGTCCGTTATCCCCTCCCATTCGTACCACCCGTCCTCACCTGGGCGTGTCTCTGCGTCAGGACGAAGGTGGCCCGTCCGCTGCGCACCACCCACTGGAGACAGCGCGGTGTGTCGCGACCGCCCAGCCGCTGGAACCCGTACCCGCCGGTGAATAGCCGCAGCAGCCGGCCGGCGTTGGCCGTGCACAGCTCCACGTGGTGCAGACTGGCCATGGCGCGCTGATAGCCGTCCGCTCACCGCTGCTCACCGCTGCTCACCGTCCGCTCACTGCTGCTCACCGCTGCTCACTCCTCACTGGCACCCCCAGCAGTCAGCAGACCGGTCGGCGACCTGCGGCAGATAAGCTTACTGGTCAGTGGGTAGACGGCAGTGGTGATTCACGGCACCATGGCGTGACCGGGTTTTCCGTTCATCTGTCTCTGCAAGGCTCATATATCCGCCCATGCAAGGGGAGCGTGACCTTCCCTCACCCCATCCCTCATCCCTACCCCAGCAAGGCTCGGGTTGGCCGATGACATCCGGACTGATCATGGACACTGAAGGTGACTGAACTGAATCTGAAGAGACTGGCGGTAATGAGTTGACACACTGCATTATAGCACCAGCTAGCCTACATCGTATCGATCTGGCGGCTGATAACCCACCATCACCCCTCCCCATCCCGTACCCCCACACTGTCGGTCTCACCTGTGTACCAGTCGTCAGCTGAGCGGGCGGTCACTCCAGCGCTCCGATCGGGCAGCTGATTGCATAACGTAACACCGGTGTGCCCTCTGGTGACAGGGAGCTGGACGGCACGCGGCGCGCGCACTGCCCTGCCACCCTGCCCGTCAGCCGACGGCACCCGTCCCCGACCACCGGCTGCTGATGTAAGAATAGCCGCCGGTGCCGGCCGACGACCATCAGCTGACGGCCGCGTGAGGGTCGATCAACGACAGCCAATCAGCAGCCAGTGCTGGCCGTCGTCAGCCGAGCCGGTCCTTCCGCCCCGCCCCAATGGGATCGCACGTGGTCTTCCTACCCCTCCCCCTCCCCGATAAGGGAAAAGGGGCGTGAGAATCCGACGGGGGGCCTGGGGGGCCAACACTCTGGGTAGGTACTTACGGACACGGTTACGTAGGTAGGTACCCCTACTTGTCAGAGGTCACCAGCTGACCTGAAGATTATTGTATTCATATACCTACCCTGATTCGGTGCATCTCGTGACGGCCAGCGGCTCATTTTTTTTTCGAGAATCTCTATGTTGTAGCTCGATAAGGTGTGAAATGTCGTGGTCGCACTTGCGCCTGGTGTGCACTGTGCATACCATTCTTTGCCCCCAGGAAGGCGTGCTTTTGTAGAAACCGTCAATCGACACTGCCCAAGAGGGCTTTTTAACTTTACCTGATTCAATAATACTTAATCTGTTCCATCAAAGCCTAATTTAATATCAATTATTTTCTTTCAATTTTCCGTAAATAATTATATCAAGCTACAAAAATTTGGCTGTGGCGACTTTACGCTGCTGTGGTAGTTTGATGGCGTCATAAATTTTACGTCCAAAGACGGATTGCTTTGTATTTAGGGCCTTGTATTAGACCAAACCTTGAGGTTGTTATTTGCGTCGGCGGTCTGTTGCCGCGTAATTTATTTTCGCCGAAAATGGTTGTTTGCTCGTCAAACACATCTATGAATGAAGGAGGGATACCTCTTCCTTCCTTACAAGAACAGAAGAATACTATTTTCAAGCTGTGTCAATTGCCTTTGAAGACGGGAGAGACTTGGTAAGGTTTCCATTTTTGCTTATCATTTGTATCCGTGCGCCGGGAACGTATCGTTTTGTATTTCTTACATACCTTATACGTTATTTTAATCCAAATTAATTTTATTTCATAAAATGGTATCAGTTTATGGGGATAGAATGATATTTACCTACTGAGGATGATTTGTGCAATTTTTACATCTAAAACTAATGCTGGAAGGCATAATTCAGTTATGGGAAGTCAAATTGATCACTTTTTTAAGTTCATTCCCGTGAGATCTGACTCAGAGGATACGATTCCAGTCATCAAAAAGCCATTCACATTTGGTATGTTTCTAAGTATTGTCCTCAACTGTGCTGAAATTCTATGCTGGGCCCTGTCCAAGTGTCTGTGACTGTGGCCGCCGTGGCTCCTGTGATCTTAAAGACTTAGCTGGCAGCCAACCAGCTGGGAGCGTGTCCGGACAAAATTTCACCTGACATTTTTTCGTCGGACGGTTATTCGTCCACAGATTTTTGTCCGACTTTTTTCCGTCTCAAATTTTTTCGTCTGTACATTTTTTCGTCTGTACATTTTTTCGTCTGTACATTTTTTTGTCTGTACATTTTTTCATCCGGACATTTTTTCGTTCGTATAGTATTTCGTCTGTACATATTTTCCTCCAGACATTTTTTCGTTCATTAAATTTTACACCTGTGCACCCAAGATTACTTTCCACTGTTAACTCCAAGGTTGAGTGAAAACATACTACAATGCTATTCAACTGTGAGGCAAGTGACATCATAATAATACTCGGGGCGAAGCAGTGCAGTGCCGAAGGCAATGCGTTAGGAGAGATTACAGGCAATGGTAAGACGTAAGTCAAATATTTTTAGGTTAAGTGGATGTGTATCTGGCTTCAGGCCGAAGGCCTTAGGCCTGATGCCTAACCACTTAACCTAAAAATATTTGACTTACCATTGCTTGCAATCTATTCATGCAAGAAACTTTTTCCTTATCCCCCGGTAGGCAAACATCAGTAGGTTAGGTTAGGTGGGGTTAGGTTAGGTTAGGTTAGGTTAGGTTAGGTTAGGTTAGGTTTAAATTGTAGACGAAAAAATGTCCGGACGAGAAAATGCACAGACGAAAAAATATACGAACGAAAAAATGTCCGGACGAAAAAATGTACTGACGAAAAAATGTACCGACGAAAAAATGCACGGACGAAAAAATGTACAGACGAAAAAATGCGAGACAAAAAAAATTCGGACGAAAATCTGCGGACGAAAAATTGTCCGACGAAAATCTGCTAGACGAAAAAACATCATGGAATCAGCTGGGAGCAGCATTCTGGGTATGATGTGATGTCGCTCTTCCTGTGACTTCTGCAGCTGCTTGAGAGCAACCGCAAGGAATTTTTGGCATACAGTGTGTGAGGGTCACACAACTTTGAGTATTTCACTCTTTGGGTAGGTTTGTATTGTGGTTCTGTTTAGAAATAAAGTAATGATATAATTTACTAGTAAAACGCCTTTTGGGGCGACCAACAGAGTGAGCAAGAGGGTGGGCCTTGCCTTGCACGTGTGAAATTGTGGGGGGCCTACCTCCAACTAATTTGTGCACTGCACCCTACTAACTGGTCGCTAGCAATGTGGAAAATTTGAGTGCAATCTGCCTAGCCGATTGCGAGATCTGGAAGTGGCACCCTGCACGTGGGCACATGAAAAATGGGTCCCAACTGACTTGCATGGCAGTCGGCACCCTACTAACTGGTCCCTCACCATGTACCAAATTTCAGCACAATCTGCTCAGCAGTTCTCCAGATCTGGAATTGACTCCTGCACGTGCACACGTGCAGCAACACCCCAATTGTGGCACATGGGTATGCATTGCCTAGTGGGTGACTGCCTACCTACATGCCAACTTTCAGCGTAATCGGCCTGGTAGTTACCGAGATATTGCAATTGCCACAAAATTGACACCCCTTTGTTTTGCACGTGGCACGTTCATAAGGGACCACCTACATTCATAGGGAATAGTCCAATACTTGGTATGTGGTGGCCGCAGAACACTTGCAGAGGGCCCTGATTTAATGTTGTCAAAAACGATCTATGGAAGACCCAATGGGTCTTACAAAGATTATTTGCCATTTTATCAGCTTTTCTTATCAGAAGAATACCTATTTCAGCTTTATAGCTCTTGAGCCTTGGTTTGTTTATATTGGTGCACATTTCCAGCCTGGTTATTGACTGGCGTGGGCTGTTTTTTTTAACCCAGCCTGCCTTGTAGCTCAGTTGGTAGAACATTGGAATCTCGGTAGTGAGAGCCGGCGGGTTCGAGTCGCTCCGGCGCTTGATATTTGAGACTCCTGACGGGGATGGTCTGCGGTTGGTGGGAGCAGCCGCAGCCAGTCAGTCAGAGGTCAGTTGAGTGAGAAAGGCCGTGTCCAGCTTTGAAGGGCATGTTAGACTCTAGCATCTAAATTCTCCCGTTTGGCGAGATAGGACGGTAGGGGTTGGGGTCTACGCAACAAGCTCCGCTTATTGTAGGCTCTGGCTCAGTCAATCTGTCCAGACCCCATTCAAACATTCGAGCTAAATTTATAAAAGCAAAATAAAAGATTGTCAGATGTGGTCTTCTGCTGTATCATCTACATTCTACCATAATTGAATTTAGATTATTATCAAATTTCCTATTCATCGTCTGAACTGGGAAAGAAAACCTGAGAGTCATGACATATTTACCTTATTCTTCCTAACCTTAGCAGGAAGATGATTTCAAGCAATCTGACCATGCTTGTATTACTTGTCCAAAACCAGCTTTTAACTCATAGGACAGCATTATCATTGTTTTTAGTGGAACGAAACGATTAACTCGCGCCGTGCTGAGGGAGGGGGAACGCCCCCTCGGGCTTTTCGTGAATACCTTAACCCTCGCCGGCACAGGGGGGGGGGGTTGATGCACCCCCCCCCCCAATGTCCCAAAATTTGTCGATTTGGGTGGGAAACGACATCCAAATGAAATTCATTTTCCACTCTCACCACCAATTTTTGAGAACAATTTTCCACTCCCAACCAAGAAAACCTAGATTGTTTTACTTATAGAAAGAGTAGTTGTGTGTATGCCCGGTTTAGCATCAAACATTCTACACCCTAGAATAAAATGCATGCTTTTTGTCATTTCTCACTCCTTTTGGATCTAATGGAATCAGCACTTTTCCACTCTCTCGCCTCTTTTTGGTGGGTAATTTTCCCCTCTGACACCCAAGACAAAACTCAATTTTGGGACACTGCCCCCCCCCTAAGGTTTTTTCGCAAATAACTCGCGTAAAAAGCGGCCGATCACGACGAAACTTTCAGTACCTTATTGATCAATTTTACACCTACCCTGAACATTTCATGACCCTGACCGAAATGACATTTGACCTGTGACCTCTTTTCCGAGACCATGTTTGGCCGGAATCGCGATTCGGCGTATGTCGGCTCGCATTAGCCGCGCGTTTGCAACCTTTTCGTGGTTTCAAACGTTCAAACATGTGAATTGATGTTGCTCCCATACATTAGGGTGGGTTTCAAGGTCACCTGCAGGTCAGGTCAGGTCATTGACCTTTGGTGACCTCGGGTGACCTCGGTTAACTTTTTTGAGTTTTACATGTTTCTAGGCTAGTTTTTGGAGCTGAATTCGAATTTAGCAACCATTTGAACATTTACGAAGTAGTTTTGGTGCCTTTGTAACATGTTACGAAGCTGTCAGAGGCGGTTGACACGTATTACGAATACCCGTCACAACCCCTACCGGTTAACCTGACCTGACCTAACCCGACCTGGTCTAAATGCTTAAAGACATCATCTCTGATCAAAACTAACACGATATTCGTGATCAGCACCCCGGAAAACCACATAGCAGCCACACTTTACGACTTTCTAATAGGTCCCGATTTTCCCGGTTTTCGGGTCATTGACCTGACCTGGAAGGTCACCAGATGACCTAGGACCTTAAAATTGGGTATCATCGGCTTCCTCTCGTGACGGGCAACACGCTCGCTTTTTCCGCGAAGCTCTAGCTCGATCAGGGGCCAAACGCGAGGGGGGTGGTACCCCCCCCCCCCCTTGTGCCGTCGAAGGACGCAAAATGGCCTGTGCCGGCGAGGGTTTAAAACGCGGCGCTGCGTTTTTCGTGCACCTTTTCATGCATATTTTCCGCACATGTGAAAATTTCAGACCTGGGACATCACTCGTCCAAGGTCAGGTCACGTCAATTTACCTTACTTCAGAAAAAGTTCAGAGGCTCGCTATAGCTACACCGACCGAACGATCACTTTGAAACTTTCAGTGATTGATAAGAGTAACAATATGTATAAAATTATATATCAGATTAATATAACTATCTGTGACCTTAAGTTAGGTCAATTTTGCGACATCTCTATATAAGTCATTGAGAAAAATGGAAATGGGCCTCTTTTGGACGAATGCTGTTCTAAACCTCTCAAGCATTGTTTTATAGGTAAACATGACACACTGAATAAAAAATTGCACCTGGGACCCCTCTGTCTGTCTCTGAGGTCTTCTCAGGTCATGAAAGGTCACCAGCAGTTTTTTTTTACAATAACTCTTACACGTCGTTTGTGTTCAGCTCGACGATACGGATCGACTGATATGCAACATGACCCTTTCCCGTCAGGTCATGACCTGGACCAGAGATCAAATTTTCAAAATGACCTTTCAAGGTCAACGTATAATTCATTCGACGCATCTCGACGAGAGGAACAGGATGCTGGCAAAATTAATGTTGTGGCTCTCTAGTAAAAAATTATTAGGTGCAGAAAAGTGAAAAACATGTTTCGTGAAAACGGGTATTTTTATAGTTTTTGCCCTCTGGGGGCTAGACCATTGACCTGAGGTCAAATGTGAGAACTATACTCAGAAAGGTCTCTAAAATGGCTATCGAATACTCGAGGGCAGCGCTTTTCGAGGAGCGCTGTGACCCGAAGGTTTGGACTTTGGATTGTGAGAAAACGCCCGCCCGCCGCAAAACGCAAACACCACAAAACGCGCAAGAATAGTGTTTTAACTATTGACAACAAACAAAGGTTTAGTTGTTTTCAAAGTCAAACAACTAAACCTTGTTTGTTGAACCATGTTTCGTAAAACATGGCCTGTCATATTCCAATATTGAAGCTAACAAGTGAAATTCTGGGATTTTTTTTCTGGTGGCCAAATGCATTTTTTTTTTTTAATATCACACCTCAACAGGTTTTTATAAAGGGTTATCTTATATTTTAACACTTTGACTGCTGTATTTGCTGACTTTGACCTCTTTTCCAGGTACCTGATTGATCCTGTATGGTTCAAACAATGGAAGAGATATGTGGGATATGATGATCGTGATTCAGCATTAGTTGGTCAGCCTTCTTCTTTTCCAGGTCCCATTGACAATAGCCCTCTGCTCAAAGGTAAATTGATATGAAGCCATATAAATTGTTGACTTGTTGATAAGACTAGGGCTCTAGTAGAAATTGCTGGATATATATGTATTATTGTTACCATTACCAGTCTGCTTCTCATCAATAATTATTTACTTGTTTGGAAAATTATTTATTTGTTTGGAAACTCCAGTCATTTCACTCCGAACAGACCGTATTTTGATATGGAGTCGGGTGTCCGCAGATGACGGCAGCGGTGAGATCCGTGAGCAGATGCTGGACTCGGTGGACTACGAGCTGCTGCCGGAGGAGGCGTGGACGCGCCTCCAGCAGTGGTACACTCTGGCCGCCGGCCAGCAGCCCATCGCCAGAAAGGTCGGTCGAATCGGCAGGGCAGGGGAGGGGCTGAGAGTCAGATGTGAGAGAGGAAGAGAGGTCGGGCGAGGGACGTTGGGCTGGTGAACACTGAGCGGGGACCAGTGCTGAACATTGGAATGTCATGAGTGGAAGTCCTTGAATTAATATCTGATAGAAAAACAATCGAACATGGCCACCATTGTCAACACTGAGGTGGATGAGATCTTGCGGTGCTTGATAAGCGAAATTGAAGCGGAGACCGTCTTCTCGTGCTCGTCAGTCGTTTGGATTTATTCCAACAATTTTTATTCGATTGTTCTGCATCTTACTGTATTGATTTGTGTTTAGGTTATTGAAACGGGCGTGTTCATGAAGCAAGCGAAAGTGGAGGTGTACCTGCTAGAGCTGAAGCTCTGTGAAAACTCCAACCTCGACCACCAGATAACAAAGTCGTTCAGCAAGGAGGACACTATCGGTGAGTACGGGTACGGTGCAGCTCCCTGGAGCTCAAATAGGATTTACTCAAACAATGGGGTCTTCCCCGTGGCGTGACGTCCGCTCTATGATTGAGTTTTATGACTGGTTAATGGATATCTAAATCCCTAGATAGGTTACGCTCCTCAAGTGGTTTGTGAAGTAGTGGCCGCTCGTGAACCAGTAGTGGTCCAAACCGCCAATGTATAGCGAACCCGTGTAGACTGTAGAAAGTATGTAGAAAGAGCGGTATCTGAGTGCGCTAGCATAATTTTGCTTGGCTTGTGAGTTACTTTATTGGATGCAGTCGTTCTCAATTTCGTCGATTTTATCGTCTGGCGCTCCACCTCTTTTCTGTGGATGTCCTAATCACTGTGCGCTGAATGTGCTAGCCTATTTTATTTTCTTGAGTCAACTCGCCCCTCACCATCCGCTCTCCCTGAGAGCATGCTCTCCCCGCATTTTCTCACTACCTCTCGTCACCGTTCAGGTCACCTGGAGCGGACGATGCGCGAGCTGTTTGGCGCGCGCGCCGACCGCGACTCGCGCGTGTGGAACCGCTACACGACCAACACGTACGAGCAGCTGGCCGACCGCGAGGCCACCATCAGCAGCGCCGGGCTGTACGTCGGACAGATCATCGTGCTGGAAGTGCAGAACGAGGACGGCAGCTGGCCGCGGCCACGACCGAGGTCAGTGACAGGGGGCGACGGGCAGTCATGTGAGGGGACTGTTCAGAGGGGTGGATGAATCTCTGGGAAAGAGCAGCAGGGAACGAGTTCACCCTATTAGTGGCAGGGGGGGGGGTTGTTTTTATCCACCCCTCAGGTTTTTCGGGAATATCTCCGAAACCGCTGAAGCTACGATGCTGAAATTTTCTGACTTTTCCTAAAACTAAATTGGGCACATTCCCTGAAAATTTCAAGTTCATAACTTTACCAGGGGCGGCTCCAGAGCACTGGGAATTGGGGGGTCCTATTCGTGAAGCGAGTCATTTGGGCGAAGATCACGATGCTGCACCAGTTTTACGAACAGTGAATGAAAGGTATCATGTGATAACATATACAGTTATTGTGCATCCTCCTTTGACACGTTTTTGCTATAATAGGCGGATCCAGGCGTCCAAAAAGGGGGGTTATGTTTTACCTCCCAACATAGGTGCCCTGACACCGCCTATGCATGACCAATACAATTGTAGTCGTTCTCTCATAAGAAAATTGTAACATAACAAGACTATTACCACCCTTTTTAGAAACAGTACCAACAAAAACCTTATTTACTATACTTTTTGTGTACCCCCAATCTCAATGATCTGTATCCGCCTATGATTTTTGAAAATGCATATTTTTAGGATCCATGTGAATTCCTGGTTCATTCTCTATCGATCGGCAAAAGTTGCGTTAAGATTGGTTCAGAAACCTGGCCGTGATAAACAGTCTAAAATGTATCTGCAATTTGCCCGTTTTTACCCCCCTCTACCCCCTATTGACATTTTTTAATTTTTATTTTTTAGAAATTTAGATCACGTTGAGCGAAATCGAATGCCGTTTGAATTTTGAAAATCGGCCCGTTAGATCTCGAGATATCAAGGGGGGGGGGGTCGTAAACAGCCCCCCCCCCTGCCACTAATAGGGGTAGCCAGGAGCCTGCCACTAATAGGGTTAACGAGCTGGATTAGGCTAATAACCATAGTATGGTGTGTCGGGGGAAGGAATCCGACGGACAGATATCGGAGACACTGTTGGTGACTGCGCGTTTTGATGCGTTTCTTGAATGACGCTGTCATCCTGTCGAACTACTTCGGACTGACCCGTCTGTGACCGTTTTTGCAGCTCGTCTGGAGTGCTGGGCAGCCTCACCAACGGCAGTATCGTCGACAAAAAGTCCTACTCTGTGTAAGTTTCAGTCAGTTGTATGTGTATTTTTTTATTTTTTATTTCATTTATGTCAGTGCTCTGATTTTGCACTTTTCTTTGACCTGAATTTCCCTTCAATGACCTGACCTTTCACTTCTCTTTTGACCCGACATTTCGCCGTTGTTTGTGACCTGACCTCAGTTTCGCTTCTGTCCGTATTGCTGTCTTTGTTCGGATCTGTCTGTTACCCGACCAGTCATCTGACCGATGGAACTGTTGACCTGACCCTCGACCTGTGCCCCGCCCTCCCTCAGCGGACACGGTTACATTTCCAGCCACCAGCCGGGGCTGTGCGGCCTCTCCAACCTGGGCAACACGTGCTTCATGAGCTCAGTGCTGCAGTGTCTGTCCAACACTCCGCCGCTGGCGCTCTACTTCCTGGAGAACCGGCACCTGGCCGAGCTGAACACGGAGAACCCGCTGGGCATGCGCGGGGAGATCGCGCGCGCCTTCGGCAGCCTGGTGCAGGAGATGTGGAGCGGCCGGCACCAGTCCACCGTGCCGCGCACCTTCAAGGTACAGGCCGGGGGAGGGAGGGGTCGATATGATAGTACAGCGGAGTCGTCCATGACTGAGAGATGGGTGCAGTGTACTCATTCACTGGATCCGGCGTGCTATGTGGCTGCGTATGGTCGAAGGTTGCTCGTATTTTACATAGTTTGACATTTTTGTGATCCGATTTTTAGTCTGATTGCCTGTGGTGTGTGTTTTTTATTAGCAAGTAATAGCTGTCAGTTCATTTTGCGACGCTACGCCAACTTAGCACATTCTTTTCTATTGCCTCACCGACCCTCATGCCCCTGTTAAGCTGCTCTGCCTCACTTTACGATGACGCGGCATTCTCCAGTTGAGCACTGACGTTCCATACTCGCCCGTCTCCGGCAGCACCAAGTGTCTCGGTTCGCGCCGCAGTTCTCCGGCTACCAGCAGCACGACTCGCAGGAGATGCTGACCTTCATCCTGGACGCCCTCCACGAGGACCTCAACCGCATCCACAAGAAGCCCTACATCGAGCTCCGGGACTCGGGCGGACGGCCCGACGCGGTAAGTGCTGCTGTCACGATAAAGTAGGGGTAACGTGTCACGTGAGGGGTTTCAGGGTTAGTAAGAGAGGTTTTGATCCTTGTTTGTGAAGGCTTCGTCTCCCTTTTCCACTCCTTGTTTAACATAACATTAACATTGTACGAAGAAGATCACACACCAAAGTTGTTTTAGGCGGCTATCTTGGGCCAGGGCTGCGGAGTTGTAGTCAGAGCCAGCGGTTCTGTTGCGACTCGGAGTCGGTTGATTTTTAAAAGCTGTAATCGGAGTATGAGTCGAACGTCACCGAAAAGTCATCGACTCCACAGATTGCCAGGGCTGCAGAGTCGAGTCAGGGTCGGAGTCTGTGTGAATCGACAGTTCTGCCCGGAGGGCGGAGGAGTCGGTGTCAATATTTGGATACCGGAATCGGAGTTGGAGCCAAAGTCACTGAAATTTCATCGACTACGCAGCACTGGTTGGGTCCTTTTCATAGAGCGTCTTGAATGACATATTAAGCGGCAATGACGTCAGCAATTCCGTTTAACTTTTTCATTAGAATTATAGATAGTACTTACGTTCGTTTTGCTCTTTGATCGGACAATTTGTTTGATTTAGGCCAAGTAAAGACTCATGTGAAAAACAGCGAAAACGACACGTGCTGGCGAAGTCTCCAATAACTCCCTGTTTCACGATTTAATGAAGAAATAACATGGAACTGCTTATCTTATTACTGACCCTGCACATAAATCTATTAATTTCTTCGCTTTTACTGACATATAAAGACATAACCTTTTGAAAAATTGCACAACAAGCCTGCTACTACACCACACTCCCGTGTGTCACAATGCTAATCAGCGGCGTTCACTCGGCTTGCTCCTAACTTACGATAATTCTCCCGCTAGATGGCAGGCCTGAGCTCAATGTCGCCAAAAACTGCGAAGACACCAATCCATTATTATCTCATCCATGACATGCGCTTGCAATACAAGCCCAAAAACCGGCGTAAGTTACGGACTTGCTTTATGAAACGAGGCCGTGGTCTCCGTGGTGCATTCATGGTTGCTCAGATGTCTCGGTTGTGGTCTGATCTGCCGGTATAGTCCCCCGGGCCGTAGCACCTCTGTGGAGTGGTGAACGTGGGAAGCCGTACGACGCACGCACGGGGCCGGCCGCGCGCGTCCCGGGGACGGGTTATCGCGTCAGGAAAGGTCATGGGTGGCGTGTGACGGCCCGCCGGGGAATGTTGACGGATGGACTGTGATAGCGGGGCAGCAGCTGCTGACGTAGAGGCCCACAGAATATAAATAACAAGGTAGTTAGTTTCATAGTTAGCCTGATAAATGATGGACGTGTATTTTGGCAGCGAACGTGACTACAGTCTCGTAAATATCTGGTCTTGGCCAGATATTGACCTGAGTGGCTGAATTTTGTCCTGTTTGTTTCTCCTAAACACTTTGACAACCATTATGATTTACGAATGTAAGTCAGTTCGTAACAAGTGTTTCGCTTACTTGTGAATTGTGATTTGCCAACGTCTGTGATGCCTTGTGTCCTATACGTGCTCTTTGTGATTCTCCCCTTTTCCTGTTCTGCCTTTAGGAGGTGGCTGCCGAGGCTTGGGACAACTACCGGCGCCGAAATACTTCCGTCATCGTCGATATGTTCTACGGCCTGCTGAAGTCGACCGTGGTGTGCCCAGAGTGCTCCAAGGTCTCGGTCACATTCGACCCGCACTGCATGCTGCAGCTGCCGCTGCCCGTCAAACGAGAGAGGACTATCGAGGTCAGTCACTGGAGTGGTTAAGGATGAGAAATATATGGTAGGTCGCTTTGCGTGTCACTTTATCGATTATTGAATTTGACTCGGTGATTGCCAAATGTCATCTTGGTAGCTGTCTGGTTTATATAGCCAAACTCGCGGCCTGTTCCTCAGCGACGAGGTGGCCGAGTGGTTAAGGCGTTGGACTGCTAATCCAATGGGCTCTGCCCGCGCGAGTTCGAATCTCGTCCTCGTCGAACGTTTTTCGCTGCGCTTTCCTCCCTAACGTCATCCGTGTTGATCTGCTCTTGCCTCGTTCGTGTGGGATCGATTAGTATTTGCATATTTTTCGCGGTGTGGTACGAATTTCTGCGCAGTGATGCGAATCGCGCGTTGTGCGCAGCGGAATGTATATTTTGTACGGTGTATTGTCTGGTGTCATGCAGAATACTACGCCGCTGGCACAACAATGCCTATTGCCTATGACTCCCCAGTGCCTATTGCCTAATATGTTTATTTCTACTACTTTATATCGCCTTTCGTCTCACTTCACTAGCACCATGGGTGAAATAATGGCATGCTATTATATCATTCATGTCTTTGAGCACACCAGCTGAAGTTGAACCATGTGCCGCTCGCCAGGTTCGCGTGGTGTGGGCCGAGTCGTCTCGCCGGCCGGTGCTGTACAAGGTCACGCTGCCGAAGCAGGGCTCCATCCAGGACCTGTGCCGCGCCCTGGAGCGGCTCACCAAGGTGCCGCACGACTGCCTGGTGGTCGTCGACGTCTACCACAACAAGTTCCACAAGATCTTCACGGGCGCTGACTCCCTCAAAGACATCAACGATAAGGACGTCATCTTTGCGTGAGTCTGGCCATTCATTATTGTAGCAAAATAAGAGAAAAAAAAACGCACCAAGCTTAAGGGTGCAGTTTCGCCAGTTTTCCCATGTTGTTTTGCGAACATATCCAATGATTTCTCCCGCAGTCTCTTACAGTCTCGCTCTAACCCCCCGCTCGTATCGCCGCAGGTTCGAGACGCCGCCGCCGTCGTCCGGTCTGCAGCCGGTGCCCGTGTACGTGCGGCGCGGTGACGTGGGCGTCGGCGGTGCGCCGTTCTTCGTCTGCGTGCGCCGCGACCGCACCAGCTACGCCGAGCTGTCGGAGAAGGTGTCGGCGGCGACGGCGCGCTACGTGCGGCCCCTGGTGCCCTCCGACTGGTGGACCGGACCGGAGGCAGCCGATGTGCCCACCGATAGCGGAGGTGAGTTACTGGGGGAACCGGTGTTTGTCTGTTGGGAACCGAGATGGGGGCTGGGGACGGGGAACCGACCATGAACTGTGGGTTCTCAGGAAATGAGTTTGTGATTTGGAAACTCATGAAACGAGTTTGAGTTTGTGATGCGAGCAAAAAGATCGTGACTGTGTTATTAGGATTTATTAGTTAGGAGGGTTGTGTAGGTTATGTTTCCACTTGACTGTCATGTCTAGGTGTGTCTCTGTGTTTTACTATGTTAGTCGGCTACCGTGATGTGTTACCAGCATCTTACACCCTTGCCCTCCCACTTTTCAGCGCTGCCGAACGGCACGGCGGCGGTGGGCGGCGCCGAGGCGGCCACTCCGGACGACGACCCGGCCGAGAAGCCTGCCGACGAGCCGATGGAGGGAGCCGAGGGCGGCGAGAAGCCGTCCGCCGCACCAGCGCCCTACCAGCTGCAGCTGGTCAACAGCAGCGCCAACACGTGCCTGGCGCGGCTGTCGGCCGACCACCCGCAGCGCCAGGTGGCCGTGCCGCCCGGCGCCGTCATCCTGGTCCAGTGGCAGCCGGCGGCGTTCGCCGCGGCCGTCGATACGCTGGAGATGGACGCGCGGGACGAGCACGAGTCAGTGAACGCGCGTCCGTCCACCCGCCGGCCGGCCATCCAGCTGAGCGACTGCATCGACCTCTTCACCAGCACCGAGAAACTCGGGGTCAACGACGCCTGGTACGGGGAAAGGGGAGGCTGGGGCCGCGACTAGAGAGGGAGCGGACTGAAGTTGGAAGGATAGGGGCGGGAGGGGATTTGGGGATAGTCACTGCTGTTAAAAAAGGTATGGGAGAAGACACCATTACCAGTGCTCCTGCTGCATTTGGATGGTGTATGATGGTAAAATCATAGCTGTATCAGCTGCAGTTTTTTCTATTGTGCTGGAGACGTTTTGAAGAACATTATTGATTATATTCATGTTTCTCTTCTAGTTCATCATCACGCTACGGCTTCAACTAACCGGCTGTATACGTCTGGGTCACTTCCGTAGCTCATTACGTTCTTGAGGTCTTCATCAGCCTGTACACAGTTGAGGCCGCGCTCTTACACACCTCCGTTCGATTCTCTCTGATAGCCACATCGCCTGCTCTCAGGTACTGTCCCGACTGCAAGAAGCACCAGGAGGCCACCAAGAAGTTCGACCTGTGGAGCCTGCCCGACGTGCTGATCATCCACCTGAAGCGGTTCTCGTACACTCGCATCTTCCGCGACAAGATCGACGCGCTGGTGGAGTTTCCGACGCGCGGCCTGAACATGGGGCCGCACCTGCTGGACCCCAACCGGCCGTGCTCGACGTACGACCTGATCGGCGTGTCCAATCACTACGGCGGCATGGGCGGCGGACACTGTGAGTTTAGAGACCGGGGATACTGAGTAGACAGTATAGGCGGCGTGTCCAACCACTACGGCGGCATGGGCGGCGGACACTGTGAGTTTACAGACCGGGAACACTGAGTAGACAGTATAGGCGGCGTGTCCAACCACTACGGCGGCATGGGCGGCGGACACTGTGAGTAGATGAACTGGGGACACTGTGAGTAGATGAACTGGGGACACTGTGAGTTTACAGACCGGGGACACTGAGTAGACAGTATAGGCGGCGTGTCCAACCACTACGGCGGCATGGGCGGCGGGCACTGTGAGTTTAGAGACCGGGGACACTTTGAGTAGACGGAGGGCATATTGCCGCTATGAATGGACGGAGGGGGGGAGAGAGAGAGATACGGTTTATTTGATGTACAAACACTATACGGCTTCGAGCTCAGGAGCTCATATAGCTCGTATTACGCCATGCACGTGTGGCGTTTAAGAACGTGATTAAAGGAGCCGTTGTCAAGTAAGTGCAGGTACACATAGTCCCAGCGGGAAAATGCCGCCCGCGCTGGGACAGCAGACAGCAGCCTCTGCCGGTCACCGCAGCGGTCGCTGCGACAAACATCACACAGCTAAACACGGTTTCAATGGGTATGCACGTATGGTAAGGAGCATCTTGTTTAGATCGCCATGTCCCTATTAATCAGCGAGGTCATGTGTGGCACGCTTGAGTTGCGCAATCTGGCGCTGCAGCGGAAGTTTTCCAGCGTTTGGGAATTTCTTGTTTCCCTACCAGATATTGCTCCTCTTTCAGGTGGGAATATGCGATATGTCCATATGGGAATATGGACGGCGGTATATGCGGCGAGTTCAGCCATTACGGCGGCATGGGCGGCGGACACTGAGTTTATAGACCGGGGACACTGAGCTTACAGACAGGAGGTACAGAGTTTATAGACAGGAGATACGAGTAAACAGCGGTGCCGAGTTTTAGGTGGCGTGTCCAACCACTACGGCGGCATGGGCGGACTGACTGTGAGTGATTATATAATGGGTTGTGGGTGGACACGTCTGAGCTTAGGCCTTAGCCCCTTTCTCAACAACCGCTCCTGACCGTGCCGTGTCGCTGAGCATCAGGTCATTCCCTGGCATGATGTGTTAAGCCGTTTCTGTCTGTCCGGATCAAATTTGATCATGCATTTGACGCACGTTCTGTCGTGTTTCAGACGTGGCCTACTGTAAGAACCGTGACGACAACCGCTGGTACTACTTCGACGACAGCTCCGTCACAGAGGCCTCCGAGGACGCCGTCTGCGTACGTATAAAGTGGAGGGGAGCTCATATATGTAAGGAGCTGCAGCAGCACCTTATATAAACCACAGCAGCTCTGGGAATTCAGATAACAGGAATTGATCCTTCATTGGTCGCGCTCAGGAGTCAGGACTCGATAAATTTTAAGTTATTTACCTATAGAAGACGCTTAGATTACGCTTTGCATTTATCCGTTCGACCTCGCTAACGGCTGAACTTTTGTCTGTGTCTGTTTCCAACTGTTCACGCTGACATTTGGATGAATCCCCCCCCCCCCCTCCTTTGCACTTTGCAGTGACCTCTGGATCTTTTCCGCTGGTCTTTGTGTCTGTTTTCTCTGGCCTGTGTCCGTGTCTGTGTCTTCCCTCCACTGACCCGTGTCTGTGTCTTCCACCAGACGAAGGCGGCCTACGTGCTGTTCTACATGCGCCGCGAGCCTCAGAGCGCCGCCTGCCGCCTGCCGCTGGCTCCGCGGCCGGCCACGGTTGTCTCTAACGGCCGCTCCTCGGACTCTGAGGACGGCTCGGAGGAGGCAGAGGACGACATGGACTGCAGTTAATGACGGCGCACCGCTCCCCCCCCCCCCCTCGACCGACAACCGCGGGACGAGCGGGCGGCGGGTCCGCTGTCGGCGTGTCGCGTACAGAGCCCCCGTGGGACTCGGAGCGTCCCGTCGACGGCCGCTGAGTGATAGACCAGGTGCGAGGGAGGCACTCTCAGAGACGACTTTGATGTGGTGTGAGCGGAGGAAGGTCCGACCGCGCCGAGGTGGGTTCGGGACGCAGACCCCTAAGCGGCCGTGGTGAGGTGCGGATGTAGGTGACCTTGGCTGTATCAGGCAGGGCAGAGCCGGCCGGCTGCGGTTTCGGTCGGACCCGGGTGGCGTGTCGGCGGCAGGGCTCGCCGGCGGCGGGACTTGGCGCCGGCCCGAGGTGTATTGTCAAAGCTGCGAGTTCGGGCGGCCGTGGCCGTCACGGCCAGCGGCCGGGCCCGACTGCGCCGTAACTCCGGATGGCAGTGAAGAATACGGAGTGTTTTAACAACAGTCAGCCGGCGTCGGCACTCAGTCTTAGGGGAGGCGCGTGATTGTACCGCTGTGTTCCACGAGCGTTTCTCTAAATATACCTCCCAGGTGAACAACAGTCCCCATCTTAGGCACTGAGTTGTTATTGATTTCCGTTATGATTTATGTACGAATACATGTTATCAATCAATTGTGAGATGCCTTGTACACTTTCGATTTCAGCACCTAATGCGTATGCTGGCCTGGCCCGCCTGGCCCATCGGCTCTCGCGTTGCTGGGCGCGGGCAAGGTGCGGGTGGCGCCCTCTGCATGAACGAACAACCACCGCAGTGATCAGTTTTTTTTGTTTTTCACGTACATCTGAAATTGCTTGCATCCTGTATGAAATTTTCTTAAAAGTGAAATAAATCTATATACGCGAGGTTTGTGGTTTGTTTTTGGAATCTAAAGGATAGATAGGAAATATGTTTTCTATTTTTGGCGGTGCGGCTTGTCCCCTTGTTTCCGTTCTGGACGTAGAGTCGTAGAGGTGGTTGCCCTGTTTCTATAGGCTGTTTGGTGCACGGATTCAAGTTTTATTATTTTTTACCTCGTGATTTTCAAATGCTACCACAATTCTCGGTTCATTTATTGAAAGAACGAACACTTTCCTTGAGAATGCATAATAATTTCAACCACACCAGCTCTAACTCGTAATTATTTTGCCGGCGTCTCGTGGGGTGACATAATTGGGGGACGTTTCAGAAATATTTTGATTATATTTGAAGCTGAATGACTATTTTCGCTCAAGTCTGCACATAGAGGAATAATAATTTACATGGTAAGAATCGTGTTTGCTTGGTTGTTGCTTGATTTTCTTCGCACTGGGGGGTATTTGTCAGCGTCGTATTTGTCGCCACTCAATTTAGTGTAATATGATCGGGGTTTCTCCATTTTCAGATCATAAGAGCCATGGCTTTATTTCAAAAGTAATATTTTTTCCAGAAGCTCATTCTATGCCTTTTCATGGCTAATGGTCCAGTATTTAATGTACATTGTGTACGTGCGTACCTATTCATCATTCCATTGCATTGGTTGCTACATTGGGGCTGTTCGGCTGCACAGCCAAAATGAAATGTGCTGCAGCACGCATGCGCGGTAAGGGCTACATCACCTGTTAGCCAGCCTGCAAAGTATGGCACGCAGGTCGACGAGGGGCTCTGGCCCAAATTCAAAATCCGCACCAACCCTTCAAACTGAGCTGGAAAATCCGCGCTAAAGCGGGCCGAGAGCCAAAAAAATCTGCACTGAACCCACAGGCAATTATAATACAAGGGACTTAATTCATCTCACTATGATTATTTCCCGTCCAATTTCAGTTTCACTTACCGCTTGAGCAACGCTCGCCACGGGACCGCGTCACACACTTGCACCGGAAGTCTGAAATAGAGCAAATAGACGGGCGCCGCTGAAAATAGGGCGTTGGAGGGCATATTGGGTCACGTGACATTAGGAACTTCTCCCCCTCCATGGGCCTTCTACATGCTAAATGTTACGTGTGAATTTCACGAGCCTTGATCAAATCGCCCCAACAAACTTTCGTATGAGTAAAACCAATGATGTCATTCCAAAGTAGCGCGCTGATTGGCAATCCAAACCAGCTGCTCGCAAATGTGACAATGACATATATAGCACACAATCACCAGTCACCACCGCAACCAGTCTTTGTTCTAATGACGTCGTCATCACGATAATTCCTGAGGCGAGAATGGATTGTTCTGCCGTAATTGTTAGTTTGTAGAGTGATATTAAAACTTTGGTCCGTCACCCTGGCTGGCACGCATTTGTAGGGCTTTCCAAAGAACAGTCGTGGAACCCGGCAGGGAACGCAGCCGGGTAAGAAGACCAAGCGAAGTCTGCACCGCACCAAGGTCTAAGCCAAATCCGCACCGCACCAGGCGAAATCCGCACCGCACCACTCGAAAATCCGCACCAGCCGAACAAGCCCGCACCGACGAGATCTCGTCGAAATTGCCATACTTTGCAGCCTGGCCTGTTAGTCCAGTCGGGAGAAGTTTGGTCAATCGTTATGACCCATTTATCTTTGTCTCTCCGTCAGGACGAGTAACCGGCGCGGTCTCCGTCCCCGCCCGCCGCCACCATGCACCTGTACAACCTGACGCTGCAGCGTGCCACCGGCATCACCCATGCCGTGCACGGCAACTTCTCCGGCTCCAAGCTGCCCGAGATCGTGGTGTCGCGCGGCAAGACGCTGGAGCTGCTGCGGCCCGACCCCAACACGGGCAAGGTGCACACCCTGCTGGCCACAGAGGTGTTCGGCATCGTTCGCTCACTCATGTCGTTTCGACTGACCGGCGGCACCAAAGGTGAGACGCACTGTAGGGAGGTTGCATGGATTCCCAAGCAAACTACTTTTAGGGAGGGTTGCTCTGAGTAACAGAGGTATGCCAGTTTTCTGTACTTAGATCGTTTGACGTGGATTGAAAACAACCCTTGATATATGAGGCTGTTATCTTGATTAAAAGACACGTGTATAGATACGTGAAGAATTATTGACCTTTTCCTCGAAAATGTAAAAACAATGCCAAAAGTTATATTGAATGCGGTGAGCTTTCGGCTACATGCCTTCGTCAAACCAACAAAATGACACGATACCATACGGAATTTTGTTGGTTTGACGAAGGCTTGTAGCCGAAAGCTCACCGCATTCAATATAACTTTTGGGCATTGTTTTTACATTTTCGAGGAAAAGGTCAATGATTCTTCACGTATCTATTCTCGCTATGTTCCTCGCTAAAGCACTTCACACCATTAAAAGACACGTGTGCTTTATTTCAGCTGAATGATCACTGACTTTTTTCTTCGACGCTTCGTTTCGTTACCGCTGGTTCTGCGCTCTCCCTCCAGACTATGTGATCGTCGGCTCGGACTCTGGCCGTATTGTGATCCTCGAGTACAACCCCAGCAAGAACCTGTTTGACCGCGTGCACATGGAGACGTTCGGCAAGAGCGGCTGCCGGCGGATTGTGCCCGGACAGTACCTGGCCATCGACCCCAAGGGACGCGCCGTCATGATCGGTACGTCTCGCCCCTTGCCCCACTCCGACGGCAAATGGGGGAGGGGGGAGGGGGGGCTATTGTGAGAAGGGCTTAATCATATATTTCTTTGTTATAATTTGATAATATTAGCAGTTATTAGTATCTCTTCTAACTATAAGATAAATATAATAACACGGAACAAAAATGATAGACGTCTATCATTTTTGTTCCGTGTTATTATACTTGTCTCAACTGCAATACAATAAGATAAATGTGTTGTTCAGGATGGACAAAAATCTCTACTTTTGTTTATTTCGTGTTTGGTGACACACAAGATCATATCGCAGTATTGATTGTTTCCTCTACTTGCAGGTGCCATTGAGAAGCAGAAGCTGGTGTACATTCTGAACCGTGACGCGCAGGCTCACCTGACCATTTCCTCGCCGCTGGAGGCGCACAAGTCGAACACGCTCGTTTACCACATCGTCGGCGTCGATGTCGGGTTCGACAACCCGCTCTTCTCCTGCCTGGAAATCGACTACGAGGTGAGGCCGGGCCCTTATCTGGTCGAGGAACAGTTGGTCTGACTGAATAGCGGTGTTTGACTGTACAAGCTGTGTCTGCTTACTACTCAGACGTGGATGTGTTATGTACATTTAATTGACACCGACTTTGTCCTTAAAAAATCGGCGGATCGTGCCGATTCTTAAAATCGTATTTGTTAATCCTTTAGAGTTTCTGATTAGCTACGTCTCGGGACTGTTGTGCGAATCTAATGGCTGACGTACTTTTATCCCCCTCGCGCAGGACGCCGACTCTGACCCGACGGGCGAGGCGGCTCAGAAGACCCAACAAACCCTCACCTTCTATGAGCTAGACCTGGGTCTGAACCACGTGGTGCGCAAGTACTCGGAGCCGCTGGAGGAGCACGCCAACTTCCTAATCTCCGTACCGGGCGGTAACGACGGCCCCAGCGGGGTGCTGGTCTGCTCCGAGAACTACATCACCTACAAGAACCTGGGCGACCAGCACGACATTCGGTGTCCCATCCCGCGGCGGAGGGTGAGTTGGGAAGAGGGACGGGCTGGGCAGTGTGCGGTAAATCTAGAGCGCAGATAAGTTTAGGGGAGGGGTGCTGGTTTGCTTTTCGCTAGTTGATAGGTTGCTGGTCAGGCAAGTTAGATGCATTCTGTTTTGTGTATAATTGAGGTCGAAGTTTGCGGACGGCACTCTGTGCCCGGCCCGCGCCTCGGCCGGGTCCAATTTGAACGTCCGCTATAGAGAGGACATATACAGACAGGACGGCCGGCCCGGTGTGACGGCACGACACTGGCCGGACGGACACCGTCGGAACACTTGTAAATGTATTTTTCTACGTATATTTCATGGTGTTAGTCCTTACACCACGGGATGACGTTTAAATCATACTCAACATGCTTCCCTGTCCCTTTGGCCATACATGAAATCGGATCTCGTCTCCCACAGAACGACCTGGATGACCCGGAGCGAGGTCTCATCTTCGTGTGCTCGGCCACGCACAAGACCAAGTCCATGTTCTTCTTCCTGGCGCAAACAGAGCAGGGTGACATCTTCAAGATCACAGTGGAGACTGATGAAGATGTGGTGACCGAGATCAAGCTGAAATACTTCGACACGGTCCCTGTGGCTGCCTCCATGTGTGTCCTGAAAACTGGGTTCTTGTTCATCGCGTCTGAATTCGGAAACCAGTAAGTATTGTCGACACGTTTGGACAATGTTTTGCTAGACTATTTCTGGCTAGGAGATGGCTTGAGTATAGCAGCTTAACATTGACCGCTTTTGACTACTTGACTTTGAGTACACATTGTGTACTTGCTCATCTGCGTTAGTTATTTCATTGTTTTGAAATTGACCGAACGCAGGATCGTGTGTCGTGTCTGTACGGCGTGTCCGACTGCCGTGTCGGCCGACCGTCCGACCGTCCTGCCAGATCACTCGACTGGTACGAATAACCGGCGGGCTCGACTGTTGGCCCGACGGTCCAGACTCACCAGTACAAACGTCCCGATGCTTATTCCTTGCTGCTCTTCTTGACGAAGTTGTAAACTCTGACTCGCAGTGCATCAGGCTCTGCTTCCGTCCCGTACTGACCCGGTTTTCCGCGCTCCCCAGCTACCTGTACCAGATCGCCAACCTGGGCGACGACGACGACGAGCCCGAGTTCAGTTCGGCAATGCCTCTGGAGGAGGGCGACACGTTCTTCTTCGCGCCGCGGCCGCTGCGTAACCTGGTGCTGGTGGACGAGCTGGAGTCGCTGTCACCCATCCTCAGCTGCCAGATCGCCGATCTGGGTCAGTCCGGCGCGACTCAGACTGCTCAGTGGGGTCATTTTCGCTATATTTAGCCGCTTTGCTAATGATTCAAAGGAAGACTGCCACCTTCAAAAAGTTTTCTCAGATCGGCCTATGATTTATTCCCTGGACAAAACAAAATTTTAGAATTCACCTGACAAAGTATCATCACGTGAATCGCGAAAAAATTGTCGATTATCATACAATTATCAATCGGTTAATGTCTAGCGACAATGTTTACACATCACTAGACTTCAAGGTCATAAGATTATTACATTTTATTTGAAAAGGTAAGGTATTTTATGATTTACTAATATATGATTTCATAAGAAATTGGCCATGTTTAATTTATTTTGCATTTAAGTTCGTAAAACATTTAAAAATCATGGCTCATTTGGAATGGGTCTGGCCCATGTTAAACCCCATTTCCCACACTTTTTTGGAAAAAATGAACTACTGAATATATAAGTTTAACTTTTATTTTGACACTCCAAAATTCTTCTCTGATCTCGAAACAATCAAAGTTTTGACATATATTTACCAAAAGATAAGAAAATTCATGTTTCAAAGTTATCGATAAACAGTAGAGATGTCGGTTTTCTTGGACTAAAAAAATGGCATCAAACTGAACTTTGGTCTCCGATTTCTCGCAAACGGGTTCGAATTTCGGAAAACCGACTTCAGTCTGGGACATAGGTGGCTCAGCTCTAGTGAAAACCGTTTTGTGGAAAAAAGGTGGCAGTCTACCTTTCAACCAGCAAAGAAACATTAGGCGATGATTAGTCTAAGAAATTTCATGCGTGAGAGGGACGCCTTGTTGTCGAAGCTGTCGAAGCGGCTGGGGGATACACGTGCATATTCATCAGCTAGGTTATGTAGGGAGAAGTAATTGGTAGACATGTTCGACAGGAGCTGCCGTAGGAGCCCGTGTCGTCCGCTGACTGGCCCCACTCCCTGTCCCCGCCTCCAGCGAACGAGGACACGCCACAGGTGTACGCGCTGTGCGGCCGGGGGCCACGCTCCTCTCTGCGAGTGCTCCGACACGGACTGGAGGTCAGCGAGATGGCCGTCTCTGAGCTGCCCGGAAACCCCAACGCCGTCTGGACGGTGCGCAAACGCGCGGACGGTACGTGCCAGCCACGGCGTCGCCCGGGGACGGGGGAGGGCGGCGGCTCGTGCCCGGAGAATCACGGCTTCACCAGGGGATTGGCAGCGACGGGATGGGACAGGGGGGGGGGGGGGGGACTGGCAGCGATGGACATGACTGCTAGAATCTATGAGAGGTTGTAGGCGTTTTTTTGACGAGCCGCTGGTAGCTTTAGGTTTGGCCGGTACTGTCCTGTGCAGTTCGTAGTAAACGCCGTATCTTACCTGATTTCAGTAAGAAATGATCGAAGTTTTGCTTACCTAAAATGCCATCCTTATCATGAGCCGTAAATATAGGGGCTGCTGGTTGGAATTCGATAGTCTCGTAATGAAGAAGGAAAAGTTTGCTTTTTCAACCCCAATCTAAAGCCGTTAGACCTTCCTTCAAGCCTGTGAACATTTGGCTCAGTTTCAGTTGCTTGCATAGATGCTGATAGTTGCTGGGATGTCAGTGACGGGCCATCGAGATTGAGGACCGTGTGCACGCTATTTCCTGGGCTTTTCTTTATGAAGGACTGATCTGTTTGATGTAGCAGCGTTTTTGTTATTCGAGGTGTTACTTGTTTTTCCCCAATGCGCTATCACGATCGGTCCCTACGCCGTGGTCTTGGAACATAGACTTCACGCACCGTGGCTGCTCCGCCGTCTGCGGTCACCCGTAACCCACAGACAGATTTGACCAGCCGGTTTGACACTTCCGTCAACAACCAGGCTCTGTTCTTTCCAGGGGGACCGTTCGCGATCGCTGGCTCTTAGTAGCGCTACCGACTGGAACCAGGTAATTTCTACCACAATGGCTGGGCGGTGCCATGCCCGCATGCGGTGCTGGGCGGCGCCCGGCTCTGCAGACGCAGTCCGCCTATATCATCCCGCCTTGTGGCCCCACCGGGAACCCTCGGGCCCCGGTGTCTCATATATCTCAGTCCCGTGCCGTTTTGCGTGGGCCACCCCCACTACCCACGTCTCCACTGACGCTCGGTGTGTGCCTCCAGCCGACTATGACGCCTACATCATCGTGTCGTTCGTCAACGCCACCCTGGTGCTCTCCATCGGCGAAACGGTCGAGGAGGTGACAGACTCAGGCTTCCTGGGCACCACGCCGACACTCTCCTGCTCACAGCTCGGCGACGACGCGCTCGTACAGGTGAGACGGTGGCTGAGGTATGGTTGGGTACATCTGCTGAATATTAGACCGGCGCGCTTCGCTGCAGCGCAGCCAGAATGACACGGATGTCAGCGGCTGCGTGAATTGAAGACATGTCTTCTAAAGATTGTTCTAGTTTATGAAAACTAAATATTCATAGTGCTTCTTTCATTGAAGATGTGATCGTTTAGCTTGCGTATTGTAAGAAGTGGAAATTTTAGGATGCACGTCGCGCACCGTACGATGTATCAATGCTTTTGTTGCGAACGTTTCTACATAGTATATGTGATACTGTTGGTCATCGCAGCTCTCGCTCTACATTTTGTCCGCCGCATAATTATTCAACGCTTCCGCGGTTGTTCTCAGATTTACCCGGACGGTATCCGTCACATCCGTACCGACAAGCGTGTCAACGAGTGGAAGGCACCCGGTAAGAAGACGATCGTCAAGTGCGCCGTGAACCAGCGACAGGTGGTGATCGCCCTCACTGGCGGAGAGGTGGTCTACTTCGAGATGGACTCGGTACGTGAACTGCGGGGCTTTCGGTCGGGATCCTGGGCAGGGGTTGTGAAATGTTCAGTGGTTGCAAAACTATTGGTTTATTGACCCGTCAGCCTCACTACCTATATTTCTGTCAGGCTTCTCAGTGTGTCTTTCCTCGCTGCCTGTCGGTTGAGACTGGTCAGCTACATTTGCCGTTGCATATTCGCTGAATATCGATGCGTGCTGTTGGTGTCGCCTACACTCGGCGACTCCCTAAGCTCGCGTCGTAGACTAAACGTTGGATCAATTCGCCCGGCGGGCGGCGCCGTGCCACCGTCGGTCTATACGTCCACACAGTAACGGATATATCGCCAGTCAGTTAACAGTGTGAAGTCAGATATTGTGGCGGTCACACTTCGTCCTCCCCTCTCTGCGCCCGCGCGACCGCCCCTGCGCGCGGCCGGCCGGACGACCGTCCGCCGGCTGCCCTCTGCCCCGGGGCGGAAGGTCACGACCCTGGCCCGCCCCGCCCGGCCGAGCGCCGCGCGGGCCCGGCAGTTTACTGCGAGTCGTCAAGGTGAGTGCGCGCAACACGTGGTGGCTGCGGAAAAGTGACGGCCATGGCTATGGCGAAGAACTATCGCTTACCGGAGTTTGACGGCAGTGGTAGCGTGAAGACATGGATTAGCAAGATGGAAGTGATTGCCCGCGCTTGTAACTGGGACACTACGAAAACGGAGCCGACGGTACCCAACGACGAAACCACGGCAGTGATGGCCCTCCCAGCGATCACCGGCCAAGCGCTCGACTTTGTGATGCGTCTCTCAAATGACGATCGGAACAGTTGGAAGCGACTGTGCGAAAAGCTGAAAGCCGAGTTCGATGCACCCGGACTTACCGTGCAATACGCTTTGGAATTTCATCAGCGAATTCGGGCACCCGGTAAATCACTGGCGACGTTCCTATACGATCTCGAAACGCTGTGCGCCCGTGCATACCCCGATTGGGAGGACACCACGTACCGCCAACGGCTGGTGAAGGATCGGTTGCTGATGGGGATCGGAGACAAGTCGCGGAAACATATTCTTTCATTCTACCAGCCGACGTGGTCGACCGAGGAGCTTCTCCTGGAGGCGAGGAAGCTGGAGCAGATCGAGACGTCGGCAGGAGGTGGTGCCGCCGTAGGTGCCGTCCATGGCCCTCCGAAAGGAGACCAGTCGGACAGCTGGAGCACTGGCTCCCGTCCCCACCCCAGCGACACTTCTGTGTTGTCAGCACTTACCAGTAGGATTACCACTTACCAGCACTCCGTAGATGGACAGCAACTTTGAACTGACCACTGATGCGTCTGATGTTGGGATTTCAGCGATCCTGCCTCAGAACGGCCGACCTGTTGCATTAGCCAGCAGAGTGCTGACCAAGGCTGAACGGAACTACTCTCTCTACTACACGTGTAACGAAATTATCCGGACATCTTTCTTCGCGCTGTAATTAAGATTAGAAGCAAGACAATCTGATGTTTTCTCTTTCGAGTTATTATAAAGCCACCTTTCATAAGAGCGCAGGTACAAACCGGCCGGACGACCGTCCGCCGGCTGCCCTCTGCCCCGGGGCGGAAGGTCACGACCCTGGCCCGCCCCGCCCGGCCGAGCGCCGCGAGGGCCCGGCAGTTTACTGCGAGTCGTCAAGGTGAGTGCGCGCAACAATATTGTACCTCATCCGGTGGTATCTCAAGTAGTTCTAGTCTTCTTCAGTTCGTCAGTTCTCTGTTGACATATCCGCTTTACCAGTACAGCGTTATGGGCGCAAAATGACCACCGCAGTCGACGCGCCCGTAAACCCCAATGAACGAACGAACCGGTGTTTGGCTGCCTTGAGCTGAACACTGCGTTGACTCGACTCTGACTGTGTTTTGACTCGGTGACTGTGTTCCGTGACTGACTTTGACTGTGTTCTGTAACTGACTCTGTGACTTCCCGTGACCGGCAGACGGGCCAGCTGAACGAGTACACGGACCGGAAGACCATGTCCTCGGACGTGGTGTGCATGGCGCTCGGGTCGGTGCCGCAAGGCGAACAGCGCTCCCGGTTCCTGGCGGTCGGCCTCACAGACAACACCGTGCGCATCATATCTCTGGATCCCAGTGTAAGTTTTAACAGGGTATCTCAATGGACCCCAGCGTGAGTATCGTGAGGGGAGGTGTCATCTCGTTGGACGGTCCGCAGTACGAGCTGACAGGGGCATCATTCCACGGGACCCCAGTGTGAGTTACGGGGGAGGGAGGGGATTAATTCGCGATTTTGAGATAAACTGAGTGTCTTACTGAATATTGATACCGTACGTGATGCGTCTCTGATACTGATACTCGTGTTGCTTACACCCTTATGTCCGCAGGACTGTCTGGCGCCGCTGAGTATGCAGGCGCTGCCGGCCTCGCCCGAGTCGCTCTGTGTGGTGGAGATGGGCGGCACCGAGGGGGCGGAGGGCGAGCCCGGTCTGCAGGGGTCGCTCTACCTCAACATCGGACTGCAGGTGGGGCGCCGCGCCGGCCAGACGAACGGCCAGATATGCACGTGTAGTATCGGTGGGGGACGTTTTTTTTCAAACTAGGTGTTCTCTAAGGACTTTTTATACCACCAGCCTTCGGGGACGTCGTTTCTTTTTAGATTTGAAAAAAATACGAAAGCGGCTTTTGAACTGTTATTTTGATATGTTATTTTGATTGGTTACCTTTGCTGCTGAAGTTTGGTTGTCACAAACCACGTGACAAATGCCTGGCGTTTTGTCAGTCTGCTGAAATTATCGATAACACCGGTGTTTTCACTCTCAGAACGGCGTACTGCTGCGGACGGTGCTGGACCAGGTGACGGGCGACCTGTCCGACACCCGGACCCGCTACCTCGGCTCCCGGCCCGTCAAACTCTTCAGAGTGCGCATGCAGAACAACGAGGCGGTGAGTGCTGCGACCCTCCTCCCCCACATCGGCAGGATCGTGTGTCGTGTCTGTGCGGCGTGTCCGACTGTCGTGTCGGCCGACCGTCCGACCGTCCTGCCAGATCACTCGACTGGTACGAATAACCGGCGGGCTCGACCGTTGGCCCGACGGTCCAGACTCACCAGTACAGTTTCGTTATTGACTCAGGATGAATGCCAGTGTGCTATAATAGGATAGGTCTTAAGTTCTTCAAGACATCGCTGTCATCGACGCGATGAAAAACACGACAGTGCGTAAACTCTGGTCCGCACACGATAAATAGCGCTATTAACCATCGTACAAGGTAATTTCTTTGGCTCGGCAGTTTTGTGTATTCACAGTGCATAGCGTATTTTGTGAACATTCAAATAACTGCCTACCGAGGTGTGTTCTATTCGCTATGAGATGTTTTCTCGCTGATGTCTGACGTGTCGTTCCCCGTCTCGCTCAGGTGCTGGCCATGTCGAGCCGGTCGTGGCTCAACTACTACTACCAGAGCCGGTTCCACCTGACACCGCTCTCCTACCAATCGCTCGAGTACGCCAGCGGCTTCGCCTCGGAACAGTGTCCCGAGGGTATCGTGGCCATCAGTACTAACACGCTGCGTATTCTGGCGCTGGAGAAACTCGGCGCCGTTTTCAACCAGGCGAGTGGCAGCGGGCTGGGGCGGTGGAACGGGTACGGTGGTTGCAGAACGGGAACGTCCCTTGATGTTTAGCGTGGTGTAGCTTTCTTGGATGGACTCCCCTTGACTTTCTTTGGAAATCGATCCGCATGGATGATAACTCTAAAGGCATAAGTCAATATTCACGCGAATATGTTTATTTATCGACAGCAGTGAAGCCGATGAAACTTCTTTTATTCTTGCTAGATATTTTGGTTTACAGACTACACAGTCGAATGCGCCATGGCGCTCTAGGGGACTGGCGCTATTCGGTCCCGCTTAGTCTCTAACTCCCACGCTCCGTCCCTCAGATGTCGTACCCGCTCGAGTACACGCCGCGCAAGTTCGCTATCCACCAGGACAGCGGCCACCTGATCATCATCGAGACCGACCACAACGCCTACACGGAGGAGACCAAGCAGGCGCGCAAGCTGCAGATGGCCGAGGTAGGTGCCGGGCCGGCCGAGAGCACGTCTGTTTTTCGGGGGGAGGGGAGGGGGCGCTGTTGGTGTGAAGATTTACGGTCGAATTTGGCTTGTAGTTACGTTGGTCACGGGTGATAATAAGGCACGTTTCCTTTGCTGACGTGCCCGCGGCTGCGCAATGGTGTGTCATTCGTTTTCTTCTGCTTCATGCTATCGGGATGAAAGGCTTGTTGTCTTGTTGGACCCAATTTTGCCGAACGCAAACTTCTTATCCATTCGGTAGCAGGAGTGTAATATCAAAAGGACCCAGCACTCGCCATGATGTTGTAAAACACGTCAAACACGGTGGAAAGGTCAGAGTCTGCTTGGACCTGCGCACCACAGTCGACAAGCGGACGTCCGTCTCAATACGGGGAGCGCAGCCTCAAGGGTGGTCTCACCAGTCACATGAATTGGCCCACCGCCGGCAGCAGTGATCGATACCGCAGAGGGTCGAATCATGGCACCATTTACACGTGATGAGGGAACAATTGACACACCTGCTCCTGAGTGTCCACAACAAAAGTCATTGGTTGCGAATCAGCTTGGGCTGCGACCCGAAAGAGAGGCAGACCGAGGGCTGCATTTACAGCCTGTCCCTTAAGTTTTCCTGACAAGGGACAGGTCCTCGGGAAGGGGACATGAGGCGTGAAGACAGTTGCATCCCGATATCGGCAGACTTTGCGGGCCACTGGCTGTGGCACCGATGGTTTACATGTGCGAGCCTTGGCTCCGAAGAAAATGTGAGCTCGACACACTTTGGGTGTCGCCCACACCAGCTTTCTGAGCAACGGCACACAGCTCGCTCAGGAAGAGGGATGGACGTCCTGTCAGGAGAGTTTTACTAATCATACGCTCAAAGAACTCGGGCTTCGTATTGCGGTCCTATTATTGCGACCATCTTATTGCGGTCCTACCGACCGCGCCATGTTCGGATGTTGATGGTAAAACTGAAGCTGAACTGGGGAATATTGCAACCATCGGGGGCACCCGACTAAAAACGCTCTCACCCCGCTTGGGTGGTGATCTCAACAACTGATCGGCTGTTTCGGCCAACAGCTGAACGCGGGACTCTCCGAGGAACGCTGCCACTAAATACTAGCGTATGATATAGCGCATGGTTTAGTGCAGGCCCACAGCAGATGGCCCATAGACTGTCCCTTCTTCATCATGTCGACCACTGTTGAGAAAACGTCGATGATGTCGCGAGATCGACGCAGTAGTCCCGTCCCTTCACCATGTACCACATTGGCTCACAGTCATCCTTGGTTTCACGCAGTTCTGAGGAGGCGGTAACGTAGTCCTCGTAGCCTTTGTAGGGCGGTGAACTGGTTAAATGCGCTACTCGTGAACCGCGTAGTGGCATGCACCTGGGCCTCATAGGCGGCCAACCCCTTCTCCTTGGCCAGGCCGAGATATTCGTCGTGTCCCCGAAGTCTTCCAAACATCGAGTGCAACTTGGTCAAACGATAAAGCGTGGTAGTAGTTCGGAGCCGGCTTTATTTCGGACTTCAGGTTCATCCAGTGGCTGAGGTCCCACGGCACTACGAAAGATAGCTGTGTCTGGCTATCATCTTATATATCTTCGGTATCGGTATTTGGCGGCCTCTGGGCTTCCACGAAGTGATGACAGCCCATTCGGAGTTGCAGTTGGGGTGGAGACAGTGGGGTGCATTGGGTATGGGAACGATAGGGATCCTGGCCAGTGCCTTTGTTTACCGTTTTTCACTTTCCCACTTTCTTGGACGCATATGATGTGTGGGTCTAGTGTTTTTAGTGTCTGAACTCGTGCCAGTGTGAGATTAGTCCGTTAGTTTTCCATTGAATGATCATGATGACTGTGTCGTGTGTGTCTCCTTGAGACGTGGTCATGGTTGTTATTCAGTGTGTTGTGTGGTGGGTTTGGCTCCCCGGGTGGCTCTTGTGGACCGCCTGGGCGGGTTCGCTTTTGAGTGGCGTTTGGGCTTGACCGTCGACCAAGGCTCAGTGTCTGTCCCCGGCTCCTTGGAGGAGGACGGCTGATCCTCCTCGCCCTCAGTGTCTGTGGTCGCTGGCGGCGAGCAGCTGCTCTCGCTGCTGCTACGGCGCTCGGGGGGAGGGCGAGGGGCTTTCCGGACCGTGGCCGGAGTGACGGGAGAGTCGGTAGCTTTGCCCTCCTCGTCCTCAGAGGACAGTGGAGGGAACGCCTCACGATCACTGAACCTCGGCGGGCTCTCGGCCAGGCGCCGGCGAGGTGTGGGGGCCTGGAACCCAAAGTCCCGATCGGCCACGGCTCGCGCCTGCTTCGGGGGCATGCGCTGCCGATGGATGAGTGTGGCGATTTGCATTTCCTTGAGCCACTTGGGGCAGTCCCGATGGGACGCCTCGTGGCTTCCACCGCAAGCGGGGCAGGCCCGATGGGTGGCGGTGCATGTAGCGGGCCACACACCTCATGTCCCCGGCACTGGGCCTCACCGTGTCCTTACTTCTGGCAGCGGCGGCAGCGCCGGGGCTTCGGCACGACCAGGCGGGTCCTGTAGGATAGGTACCCTGCCGTGACGCGGTCAGGGAGGGAGCTACCACTGAACGTCAGGTACAGGATAGCTTTACGCTCTCGCGGCGGCGGGAACACCGCCATGACCCCCTGAGGGCCGAAGCCCTCGAGGATGTCGGCTGGGTCGAGCATGATCATATAATATATATTGTATCTTATATAACTATCTACCAGGCAGCTTTCCTTAAACTTTTCAGCAAACGCAGATGCTTGATACTGTCCATCAGCGTGGCGGGCGACGCGTGGCGACGGTGCGCTGCCCTGGAGAAACAGCTGTTTTAGCGATGAGACCACCTGGCCAACCAAGAGTTTGGCAGATCCTCCTTCAAGCTTTCCGTCTTTAAATTCATAAGGGACCGGAGCCGACAGTGGCAATGCCACCTTTTCCCCTTCGACCATCAGCATGGCCATGATAACGTGGTTTGTTACACGCATCGGCGTTGACTTGCCGGACGCGGTGCTGATCTTAAGTGGCAAGCCAGTTAATGGTTAGTGGTTCATGAGCAGCTTGAGTGTTCCTTTGTGCAGGAACCCCTGGATGGTCTTTAAAAGCTCGGACACTTGCAACCGGGAATGTTCCAGGTTTTCAACGTCTCCCCTGCAAAGAGAAACGATCACAGTCATGATCTCTTTGTTTTGATCCCCATCTTCTTGCCTATGTCTATCGGCTCCTCCAGTCCTTTGCCGTCGGTGAACCTTTTTGAGATTTCTGTTATCACTTTCACCGTGTCTTGGACCCACAGGCGATCCTTCCTTGCGTCAGCCTCGATATGATTCATTAGATGAGCACTGTCCCAAATAGCCGCCTCACATGCCGGCCTTGCGCTTTGCTGCCCTTCAGCGTGAATGAATGCATCAACTTTTGGGGCACGCTCAGCCGGTGATTTGTCCATCCGCAGCAAAAGCTTTCAGTTGATCAGTTTCCCTTACTCCGATCGTGACTGGGGCTTCCTGGATTTCCTTGGCGAAGCTAGCACCATCCTGCAGTTTTACCACCGGCGCTGCCACCACATAGCTCCCCAGCATGTTGCTCGCTACACTCTGGACTCGGGAGCCTCTAGCACCACAGTCAAGATGGCCACAACGTCGTCATTCCTGCGATGGATTGTCACCTTGTCTGCCAAGACCGGCAAACATGGCTGTCCCGATACGTGGTCCTTCAGTTGATGATAACGTAGTAGAAGGCTTGCCTGGCCTGTAGCAGCAGCTTCTTTGAGTGATTGGTGTTTCCCACATCCGTCCCGCTCATACTCTGGCAAACAATCCATTTCGAAAACGTATAGCCAGACTCTTGAACACAAGATACGCGGAGCGCAACACGTTCATTTTCGCACTCATCGACCTTTTTTTTCTTTCGCTCTGTTTGCTTCGCTGTGTTTGACATCCTTTGCCCACATCGATAGTTGGAAGGCCGGTGTAGCTTTTGGAACCGATCATAGTCTCCCTTTCTTTTTCAACAGCCCTTGTGCTGGCACATAGCGCAGTTTTATAATCACAACACATGTGCTCGGTCTCACTCTTGAAAATGAGGTAGCCGGCCATATAGCTCAGTACATTGTCCGTTACCTTGTTTATGGGCATGCTCACCTTTGGGGGCTGCAGGCCCCGGTGGAATTCGACTGCGGAACCCGAATTGGGTTGGCTGCTTCGACCAGTCACTGATGTCAGCGCGGTCAGCAGTCTGTCGGTGTCCGGCTCATAGTCGGTGTGCTGGGAGGCGGACATCACGCTGTTCAGAGGCCAGTTTTAGCAACAGAAAAATAGCCGCCTGCCGGATTTTTTCCCCTAAAGACCGCTTCACATACGTAGCGTAAACGATAAAGCCCTATCCGCTTACGTGCCCATCGCGCTTACGTTCCGTATGTGAAGCGGTCTTTAGGTAAAAAATTCCGGCAGGCGGCTATTTTTCAGGGCGGTTTTTCGGTACCCCTCTCGGAAGTGAGTTAGGTTGGGGTTGTCATTCTGATGACCCACCTGGCGAATCATGCCGAAGAAGTTCTCTAGACTATCTTTGCTTAGCCTCCTGGTAAGCAGGAACTTCAGCTTACCCTTCACCATATCCCACAGCTGAAGGGTCGCGTTGATGGTGAGCTGCAGCCGTCTTACGCTGTCCTTCGGGGCCACGTTCTCCCACCGGCCCAGCCAGTTGCGCGTCTCCAGGAGAATCCTGTGCTCCTCTTGGGTCCGAGTAGAGAACGCCCTCTTGTTGCGGCAGGCATTTGCAGTTCTCCCGAAACAGCCGGCAACACGCTGAAAACGAGGACGAAAAAAAAACTAATAGAACTTGAAGCCGCTTGCGATACCATTCTGTTTGCTTCGCTCTGTTTGACGTCCTTTTCTACTTTCGCGACAGGAGCGGCGGACTTGCCTGCATCAAGTGAAAATGAGTTGGTAGGTTTTTGCTGGCAGAAAACTACTGGTTCTGGGTTAAATCGTACCGGAACATGCC